CGGGTAAATAAATTGGGGGTGCGAAAATCAATACAATAAAATTGATTAATTTTAACGGTACAAGCTGATATATATATAAAAAAAACGTTTATACAAGTAGGTTTTGTTGTGTGTTTCCACCAATATAAATGATATATTACCATTACTGTAAATAGTTTTAACACAAGGCACACAATTCAATGGATTGAGGTAGAGTCGCAGCCCTGCAACTGCTCGCTCACGCCCCTGCTGGCAAGAAGGGCTCCCAATAGAGGAGGTCTCCTCTTCCACGGTGGCCAGACATGTGGGAAAAAGAGGTGGGATTACCCACGCTTCACCCCACCTGTCAATAAACTGTGTTACTGTGGTGTACTTGTCTTTACTACTGGGTGGACAGAGATGGGAGACGTTAATTTTCCTCATTGGGTAAAATTAACTAATATTCTATCAGATCTGTCAAACCCCTTATCAGTGCCTAGCTTATTCTTGGTGATTGCTTGTGTTGCAGTCGAAACGTCGTGAGAATTTTGTTTTATATTGTTTCCCTTCTACGTGACTTTACCTAAAGAACCAAGAATATGAATCCCTGCAGTCGCGAAAGCTTTAAATCAAGATTTAGTGCCTAGCTTATTATAGACCAATTCAGACCGTATTGGTCACCCCGTGCCATTATAAATCTCAACGTTAACCCTACAAAGTCTCATGACAAGGGAGAAACACAAAACATATACTGTACAAATGATTTTTTACTCAATTTCCTTGTACAAGAATACGGGTAAACCGTATGGGTTAACAGCTGTCTTATTCCATTAGACCTCCTTTGCCAGTACCAAAATGTAATAATAGGGTTTTTACCCTTTTTTCTGGCAACAAAACTGAAACCTTTTTACAAGGATTCATGTCTGCATTAACCACAATACCTGCAGTCAAAATGCAAACAAAAAAATACTATGATAATTCATGCATTGTCCTTGAAATTGATTGGTTCACACCAAGGGACGGCTTTCTTTTGAGCCTCGACCCAATTGGTGCTCGACCAGATGACGCCAAAAGTTTCAAGTTTCATTTATTAGGTATAGCCCTGTGAGCCATGCGGCTCTTAAGTCGGGTGCAACCGCAACAAACAAAATTTGAACACAGAACACCTTAAAGCGACGACGCGCAACAGAAACATCCTGGAATTCAACCAGCAAATATTCCACACAAAAAAACTTACTAAAACGCCGTGCAAAAATCACAATGTGGTGCAAGCCAACAACAACCGTAAGACAATTTAGATTAACCATATGTTTTCGAATTACCAAAATAAAGCTACAAAAACAATGTAACAACAGTAATCATAGGAACTGTGATTTTAAATTTAACAATAAACGACATACATAACACGTACGACAAAACCTGCAGCCATAGCTGGCAACACGACACTCCCAGTGTATGATGTGTGAGTGAGTCAGCAGCAGCGTGACTGAGTGTATGATGTGTGAGTCAGCGTATGATGTGTTAGCGCATGATGAGTCAGTCAGTGTATGATGTGTGAGCGAGTCAGCGGCAGTGTGAGTGAGTGTATGATGTTGCGAGTGAGCCAGCACACGATGAGTGAACCTGTGTATCATGAGTCAATGGGTCAGTGGTTGTGCGAGTGTATGATGTGTGAGTGAGTAAGCGCATGATGAGCGAGTCAGTGCATGATGTGTGAGTGAGTCAGTGTATGATGTGTGAGTGAGTCAGTGCATGGTGTGAGTGAGTCAGTGCATGGTGTGAGTGAGTCAGTGTATGATGTGTGAGTGAGTCAGTGCATGGTGTGAGTGAGTCAGTATATGAGGTGTGAGTGAGTCAGTGTATGATGTGTGAGTGAGTCAGTGTATGATGTGTGAGTCAGTGTATAATGTGTGAGTGAGTCAGTGCATGATGTGTGAGTGAGTCAGTGCATGATGTGTGAGTGAGTCAGTGTATGATGTGTGAGTGAGTCAGTGTATGATGTGTGAGTGAGTCAGTGTATGATGTGTGAGTGAGTCAGTGTATGATGTGTGAGTGAGTCAGTGTATGATGTGTGAGTGAGTCAGTGGATGATGTGTGAGTGAGTCAGTGTATGATGTGAGTGAGTCAGTGTATGATGTATGAGTGAGTCAGTGTATGATGTGTGAGTGAGTCAGTGTATGATGTGTGAGTGAGTCAGTGCATGATGTGTGAGTGAGTCAGTGTATGATGTGTGAGTGAGTCAGTGTATGATGTGTGAGTGAGTCAGTGTATGATGTGTGAGTGAGTCAGTGTATGATGTGAGTGAGTCAGTGTATGATGTGAGTGAGTCAGTGTATGATGTGAGTGAGTCAGTGTATGATGTGAGTGAGTCAGTGTATGATGTGAGTGAGTCAGTGTATGATGTGAGTGAGTCAGTGTATGATGTGAGTGAGTCAGTGTATGATGTGTGAGTGAGTCAGTGTATGATGTGTGAGTGAGTCAGTGTATGATGTGTGAGTGAGTCAGTGCATGGTGTGTGAGTGAGTCAGTGCATGATGTGTGAGTGAGTCAGTGCATGATGTGTGAGTGAGTCAGTGCATGATGTGTGAGTGAGTCAGTGTATGATGTGTGAGTGAGTCAGTGCATGATGTGTGAGTGAGTCAGTGTATGATGTGTGAGTGAGTCAGTGCATGGTGTGTGAGTGAGTCAGTGCATGATGTGTGAGTGAGTCAGTGTATGATGTGTGAGTGAGTCAGTGTATGATGTGTGAGTGAGTCAGTGTATGATGTGTGAGTCAGTGTATAATGTGTGAGTGAGTCAGTGCATGATGTGTGAGTGAGTCAGTGCATGATGTGTGAGTGAGTCAGTGTATGATGTGTGAGTGAGTCAGTGTATGATGTGTGAGTGAGTCAGTGTATGATATGTGAGTGAGTCAGTGTATGATGTGTGAGTGAGTCAGTGTATGATGTGTGAGTGAGTCAGTGGATGATGTGTGAGTGAGTCAGTGTATGATGTGAGTGAGTCAGTGTATGATGTATGAGTGAGTCAGTGTATGATGTGTGAGTGAGTCAGTGTATGATGTGTGAGTGAGTCAGTGCATGATGTGTGAGTGAGTCAGTGTATGATGTGTGAGTGAGTCAGTGTATGATGTGTGAGTGAGTCAGTGTATGATGTGTGAGTGAGTCAGTGTATGATGTGAGTGAGTCAGTGTATGATGTGAGTGAGTCAGTGTATGATGTGAGTGAGTCAGTGTATGATGTGAGTGAGTCAGTGTATGATGTGAGTGAGTCAGTGTATGATGTGAGTCAGTGTATGATGTGAGTGAGTCAGTGTATGATGTGAGTGAGTCAGTGTATGATGTGAGTGAGTCAGTGTATGATGTGAGTGAGTCAGTGTATGATGTGAGTGAGTCAGTGTATGATGTGTGAGTGAGTCAGTGTATGATGTGTGAGTGAGTCAGTGTATGATGTGTGAGTGAGTCAGTGCATGATGTGTGAGTGAGTCAGTGTATGATGTGTGAGTGAGTCAGTGTATGATGTGAGTGAGTCAGTGTATGATGTGAGTGAGTCAGTGTATGATGTGAGTGAGTCAGTGTATGATGTGAGTGAGTCAGTGTATGATGTGAGTGAGTCAGTATATGATGTGAGTGAGTCAGTGTATGATGTGAGTGAGTCAGTGTATGATGTGTGAGTGAGTCAGTGTATGATGTGTGAGTGAGTCAGTGTATGATGTGTGAGTGAGTCAGTGCATGATGTGTGAGTGAGTCAGTGCATGATGTGTGAGTGAGTCAGTGTCGGCTCCCTCTGCTCGCGCCGTCGCCCCCCCCCCCCGACTTCATCGGACCCCCCCCTGGCTCTGTCGCCCCCCCCCCCCCAGCTCCGTCGACCCCCCCCAGCTCCGACGCCCCCCCCCCCGGCTCCGTTGCCCCCCCCCGCCCCCCCCCGGCCCCGTTGGCCCCGCTGGCTCCCCCGGCCCCGTTGGCCCCGTCGGCCCCCCCGGATCCCCCGGCCCCATTGGCCCCCCGGCCCCGTCGGCCCCCCCGGCTCCCCCGGCCCCGTTGGCCCCCCCGGCTCCCCCGGCCCCGTTGGCCCCCCCGGCCCCGTCGGCCCCCCCGGCTCCCCCGGCCCCGTTGGCCCCCCCGGCTCCCCCGGCCCCGTTGGCCCCCCCGGCCCCGTCGGCCCCCCCGGCTCCCCCGGCCCCGTTGGCCCCCCCGGTTCCCTCGGCTCCGTCGGCTCGCCCCGTCGGCCCCGTCGGCTCCCTCCCCCGGCTCCCCCGGCCCCCTCACAAGCGGCCCCCGCCAGCCGCTGCTGGGAGCGCCCCGGGGAGCGCGCGAGCCTCAGGCGTCACACAGCTCATTGACAATGCACTATGAAAGTGATGAGGGCTCGGGGTGAGCATCTACATCATCATTACACCTCCTTTGCCAGTACCAGAATGTAATAATAAGGTTTTTATCCTTTTTTCTGGCAACAAAAAAGGGGGAAACCCCTATTATTAGCTGTCTTATTGTACAGGACTGCACCGTACACTTACATGCATGTGCAGTATGCCCGTGCATTAATGGTTTTGTGTAATGCGCATTAATTTGTACATCATGCAGAACCTTTAAAGTTAACACCAAACTTCGCGCATTGTTAACAATTTTTCACTTTTAATTAGTCGCGAATGCGACGCTTTTACGCTCGTTGTCTACGTACGAGTTCGGCTGCACCAACCCCTGCTGAACACCCCGTGTACTGGCGAGGTGTTCAGCTTGAAGGGGAATCATTGCAGATATGTAACATTTATCAAATTAAATTTTAAAAAATGTTCCTTAAAACAACGAAAAAAAAATCTCCTCACGCGAGTCCCTTTAAACGCGGCGCTTGAGAAATTGAGGCGAACGACGTCGCACGCGGAGCCAATCACCGGGCGCGTCTAAACCCCCCCCTCCTCGCGTACGTCACGCGACCTCTGGGCCAATGGGAGCTGGCGTTGCTGCTTTGCCGCCATTTCTTGTCGCCCGCGGCCTGGTAAGGAGGAGGTGGAGGCGGCGTCGCCGCGTTAATTTTGTTAAGTGCGCGCTCCCCCTCCCTCCACCCCCTTCTAAATTAACGCGAGTTTGTTTTGAATTAATCGTAAGCGTCGCAAACTTCGCGTTGACCAACGTGCCTGCAAGCAACCCGCGCCGGTTGTGTGACTTGTTACGACGTCCCCCACGCCAACCACAACCCCCCCACTCACGCCGCCGCGAGGTTTGAGATTTTGTGGAGCGAGGCGCCGAGCGTGGCACGCCGCCCCTGCTGCTTGCCGGTGATGGTCGGGTTCCGTGTCAAAAGTTTGACATTTATATGTTTGCTAATCGTAAAGTGTATTTATTTGAATGAGTTAGAAATTAAGTAGTGTCACCTGCCAGGAGTGGTAGAGAGGGGGGGTTGGGCGCGATGGCTACTGTGCTGGGGATTAGGCTTTCAACCAACACTGTGTAGAAGTGTAACTTTTTACTGTGCACCTAGCCTGGCACAAGCGCCGTGGTGACGTCGCTACAAATTAGTTGGCGACCGGTGGTGGTGGTTGTTTGAATGTGTACCGTATGTGCGTGAGATGGGAATGACGAGGTCGGTTACTACACTTGACGTGAGGTCGATTGTGGAATCGCAGCGCCGTGAATAAATGGTGACATCGTGGCGAGGCCTACAAGCAGTGGATAGAGCATGCCGGTGGCGATGGGTTAACTTGAAAGAGCACATTTATTATCGGGTCCTAGAGACTTTCTTCCCAGCAGAATTTGTTCAAGCAGGCGAACGGAACAGGTTTCGACTCGTCTCAGAGACTCGGGCTGTTACATTCTGCTGGGTTACAGTTCTAAATTCACGCCATTGACCGTCGGAGTTATGGTCGAGTGAACGTATGTGTTAACATTGTACATGTGCGTTTGTCCAAGTGTGCCAATTATACACAAGGCATATGTATAAAAAAGATGCGTAGTGTATGATATACAGTATAACCGTCATCGCTACACCGACATCAAAACACGGGAAGCACTCATTACGGCTACAAACAAAATTAAAGATATCCGGTCGACAGACTGCCATTTGCTCCAACAATAGCCGCCATTCGCCACTAAATGACGGCGAGCGGTGGCGCAGTGGATAGCGCACTGCTATGAACCAGACCGCCCGAGTTCGATTCCCGCTCACAGCCAACATTGGTGGCGAATATCTCAACCGGTCCTGGGCCTCCCAAGGCCTGTAAAATTGGTACTTGGTGCGTTGTGTAAAGGCCAGCACTGAGAAGACAGGCAACTGGCTGGGCGTGCTGGCGGTGACTAAATACCTCGTGTGCCATTGCGGCCTGAATAGCTGCTCGCGATCAGCACTTGCCCCAAGTCTGTTAAGGCTATAGAGAGATCGTACTGTACAGTACATCTGTACGTGTGTGGGGGTCTCAAAGTGTATCTAGCCTGGAACAAGCGCCAGTTGGTGATTTCACCGTCATTTAGTGGCGAATCGCGGCTGATGGGTAGACTGGAGAACTTACATTTTATTTGTGGCTGTGTATACGGTGACTCTCCTGATGCTGAGGAGGCTGCCGTGTTCTCTGGGCCTAGTGATGTGAGTCTAGTAGTCATGGAAATAAAACAAACTGCACAATTGCCATGTACTGAATATACTTGTGCCTTGTGTACAAATGACCAGTTTGTAGAGTAATTTATGGACGAGGACTTGCGTTTATTTAGAGCTTGATACTTGACAGCATATGCTTTGGGTCTTTCGGTAAAGTCATGTAGATAGGTTCAAAGAAAATAAAAAAAACTACGACGTTTCGATCGCAACACAAGCGGTCGTCATCAGGAAAAGGTTGCCAGGGAAATATGTGCATGTTAATGGCAGATCGCCGAGCGTCCTCCAAGACTTGACAGCATCTTAAGACTTCACAAGACAAACAGCAACGCTATAAATAAATACCAAAAAGTTACATTTAAGACATCGATTTTGAAAAACGGTCGAGTTCCCAATAGCGAGGTTCTGAGTTGGGGCTGATTTTGCTAGTCGTAGTCCTCACCAAAGTGGTGCAACAAGGTTGAACGTGGCTGTCTTTAAGGGTAATGTCCAATTCATGACACAATTCTTACAGCGAGTCGCCAAAATCAATCAGGTGGACCGCGCCTCTTCATTGGAATGTGGAATTTCGGCCATTGAAGATGAGCACAGTGCACCCTTCGTTTGAGCATGAGGTCACATTGAATTATCTTTATTTACATTAATTCATTGCAGGTCGTCTACTTGTATAAAACCTGCTTAGTACAATTGCGTCTAAATGCCATGCAATAGTGTATGTATGTGCTGTATGTGTGGTCCCCCTCTTTAAGAAGGGAGACCGCACAGACTAACAACTACAGGGGCATCTCACTCCTCAGTGTGCCGGGAAAGGTCCTGGCAAGGATTATTCAACATCGCCTTGCCAGGCACGCTGAGGAAAGGCTTGCGGAGCCCCAACGCGGTTTCAGGAAAGGGCGGTCCTGCACAGATGCCATATTTTCTGTCCGTCTGCTACAGCAGAGGTGTAGGGAATTCCAGCAAGACCTACATCTCTGCTTTATTGACCTGGTCAAGGCCTATGATACCATCAGTAGGCCTGGGCTCTGGGTTGTTCTTCGTGCTTTTGGAGTCCCTGACCCTCTGCTCATGATCATTAAGGACCTTCATGATGGTGAGCGGGCCCGGGTAAAACTACGTGGCCTGGAGTCGAAGCCATTCCCTGTACACCTTGGGGTGCGACAGGGATGTCCTCTGGCTCCCACATTATTTAACATCCATTTTGACCACGTAGTTCGTGAAGCTTTCAATAGCTGTACCGGGGGAATCTCCATTTGGTACAGATATAATGGGAGGCTGATCGATGCCCGGGTGCGGTCAATGGTTGGCTCCCTATTGCTCAACCACGTTATGTATGCCGATGATTTGGTAATAGCTGCTCATTCAGAGGAGGAGTTGGAGACGCTGCTGCTGAGACTGGAGCGTGCCACTAAGAGATGGGGCCTTACCATCAGCCCCAACCAAAAATTAAGCACCTGCCTGGGTATTTTGTACCATCGGACACTCCACCCCCACAACTCCCAATCGGTGATGGGGCAGTTGTGGAGAGAGTGGAGAGTTTCCCATACCTGGGCAGTGTGCTTATGACTGGCTCCAGTTTTACAGCAGAGGTCTCACTCCGAATCAGTCGAGCGGCAATATCATTTCATCGGTTGCGTAACGCTGTGTGGAAGCTACCTGGTCTGTCGCTCCGCACTAAGCTTCAGGTCTTCTCGGCCACGGTCATTCCCTCCCTTCTCTACGCTTGCGAAACATGGACCCCCCTAATGGAACATCTTCGCCGGTTAGAAACATTTAGGCTAGCCTGCCTACGATCCATCCTGGGTTTAACCAGGCTGGATTGTGTGAGGAGCTCACAAATCCTTGAAAGATCTGGGCAAGGTCCCATCGGATAGCTCCTCCGGCAGGCAAGGCTGCGTTGGCTGGGTCATGTAGCCCGCATGCCCAGCCACCGCATACCGAAACAGCTTTTGTTCGACCGGATCGAGGGGGCTTAACGGGCGCGGCACGGGCTAGAGAAGAGATGGAGTGATGTGGTACAGGAGGACGTGGAGCTGAGTGGACTTGCCGATGGCTGGTACCAGCGGTGTCAAGATCGGCCTCTGTGGAGGAGGCTCGTGAAGGATGCTACTGGGCAGTTGGAGGCAGTCGCCCTCCAACAACAACGGAGGGCGGAGGAGCGACGCTCACAACAACGAGCGGAGCGCCGGGTGGCTAAAGCACAGCAGGTTGGCACAGGGGGAACAGGTGGTGCATCAGCCAGTCATCTTAGTCAGTCGACCCGTGGCACTTGGGTCTGCCCCGTGACCTCCTGCCAGCGGGCGTTCGACACTTCACGTGGCCTCAAGGTGCACATTGCCTGGCACAAGTGTTGTGGTGACGTCACCGCCACTTAGTGGCGAATGGCGGTTGTTGTATATGTATTGTGCATATGTTTATTTTCATGTGCAGTATACATGTATGGCTAATTAAATTCAGTACTGCTTATGTAATATTTCATAGGTTGATTTGATGGTGTCATTAAAATAATGGGTTGATTAGAAGAGTAATGCCTGCATATTACATGTTATTAATAATGAATAGATTTGTTATTTTGATTAGTTATCAATTCGTTATATTTGATGTATTGATTGGCTATTTGTGAAATTGTATCATATTACACATTCCTTTGTAAAAAATAAAACGGCGGACACATTTTTCCCAGTAACTTCAGACCTTTCGCACATGCACCCACTGCAACTTTTGAGAGCTCGTGTGACTTAACTGACCGTTGGCAGTTTTTAACTGGAACCCACTGTGCATGCGAACAGCTTACACGAGCGATTTCAACATCTGCATGCATAGTATTACAGCAACTATGAATAACTGCATTGGAACTATTTTTTGGATCACCAACATGGTATATAATGCCGTTGTGAAATATATAAGTGACTTGCATTTTTCAAAGTACGTATCATTTTTTGACGAATTTTGCCACCAACCAGAATGGAAACATGGTGCGGTTAAAAAATGAAGGGTACCAAACAAAACATCTCGTACTATATTTTTTGTTTTGTTTCAGTTCTTCCCATTTTCTCTGGATACTCTGGTTTCCTTCCCCATGAATGCAATACTCGTAAGAGGAACTTACATTAATATCCGAGGCAGAAGCCTCCATTAAATCCTTATTACTGTTTGAAAGACGTGCATTCCAATTGCGTAACCTTTTCTAAAATATATATAAACTAATATAAGTCAAATGGAGTTCTTGCTCAAATTGGCAGAGTCGGTGCTCATCTGTATTTTATTATGGTTCACAGTCCTGAGCTATTGGTGGAAAGTCTACATCGCTAAGGGTGGGGTTGAATCACCATCAGACAACCACTGTTGATTTCTCCACAAAGTGTTACTGTATCAATCCTGGAAAGATGATGGGTTCAGCTCCTAACAAGACTTTAAACTCCCAACCTCCCTGTATGGGTGGCACACATCTGCCATCAGTCATTTTGGAGGTGCCTAGATCGGTCCTTTGGGTTGCGTTCATCAGCAGGCGCAGCAAGGTGCCTGTACGAGTCAATAAAAAGCAAGTAGGTTACAGATATTAATAATCCACTGCTAAATTAAAGCCTTCCCAAGCTGTCACCATCTCTCATGGTCCTGTCATGTAGTCATCCACTCAGGTTTTGTGTGGATGGCAATATGGCGGGACCAGGATTTCGCCGCTCCATTTGTGCGGCAGATATCCTTTCAGACGCGTTCCCTCTCTTGGCTGCTTCTCTTGGCCGCTTCTTTGTTTTTGATTTAAAGCTTTCGTGACTGCAGTAATTCATATTCTTAGCTCTTTTGGTAAAGTCACGTTGAAGGGAAACAATAAAATAATAAAATATATATAAAACAGTAAAAATTCTCATCATCAGGTGATGACCGTTTGTGTTATGGTCGGAACGTCGTGATAATTTTTACTGTTTTATATATATTTTATTATTTTATTGTTTCCCTTCAACGTGACTTTACCGAAAGAGCTAAGAATATGCTTCTTTGTTGTTCTTCTCAACCACCAGACATTATAGTTCCTCATTATTCAAAGGTTTTTCCAGCCACCTAACTGTACGCCCACGTACAAAGATGAACAAAAAATGTGAATTGACCGAACATCCCAAGCATAACCCTCCTGAAAAAGTATTTTGACTCCATAAAGCTGTTCTGGATAAACATTTGTAGTATTCACAACGCAAGTACATTAGCTCGTGTTTCAGCTGTTATGCGATTTGTCTTTGTTATTGAGAAGATATTTTAATATAGGCTATTGAAAGTAGACACCGATGTTTATTATTATGGTACAGTATGACTGCAGTGGCTTGACAAATGGCTGTGCATTACGTATCAATGTGGAAACTCTAACGCCAATGCATTTATTATTTTTAAATGTGTATATTCATTACTTAGAGGTAGGAATTGAACATTGCCCAACGGTTGTATTGATGTAACCTTTTTTCCCCCATATCTTACAGAGCCTCATGGTGTATGCACAAATTGTGGTTCATGTTCTGTCGGCCCCACTAAATAGATTTGTATCTAAGCAGCGTTTGTTTAATGTATTACGGTTCTATTTCTGGTGACGTGTGTATTAATGTAGATGTTCCGTCCGCAATCAGTTTTTCAGATGTTTTAATTTCATATGCAACAACTTTAACTGCATTCCAAAGGGGAGCCTTCCTTCATGTCTCTAAGACTCATTGTTTAGACAAAAGGTGCATGCAAGCAAGGTGTTCTGTTTAAAGCCGTACAGCAAGTAGGTTGCGTATGTAGCAGTGCCAAATTTGAGTGCTTTTTGTATGGATTCTGGTTTAAAATGCTAAACTTGTATCCATCCCAAGAAGGAATCTCGTGAAATAATTTGGAGATTCAGCATGCCCTTCCTGGGTAAATAAAAGGACTCTTATTAAATATGCCATCTGATCGTACTTCCAATCATGTGGTATTGTGTGTGGTATGAAAATATCCGTTCAGCTGCTCCAAGCTGATAAGCTTCGACATTGTAAGTTTGTTACTGGTTTGTTTTCTGTTACATCTCTTAAATTTCACGGAATCCAAATTGTTCTACAAAGAAGAAGTATTGCCCAAGACATTGCCTTTTATATATTTTTCCTTTTTAGGCAGTGGAGAAATGGGCCAAGCCGTCCTGAGTGGTTGCTTTCTATTGTTACCAGTGACCCTGGTTGCAATCCAAGCCTTTGGTTTGTCCTCTTCGCATCATGTCCATGTTAATGGCCACAACTCCAGTTACACGAGTAAACACCTTTATCTGCAAGCGAAGGGGCACACGGTGCTACTGTTGCCTGGGTTACTGCTGACAGCTTCGACCGAGGTCACTTTAACAGCTTTATTTTATCTTTGCCCACAGGTTTTGTGAAAGAGAATCACACAGCGCGTACACCTGGAATGGCCAATCAAGACAGGTGCGGTCCATTGCAATACATGCCACCGATGACTTTGGACATTACCACACTGCGCGACTACTCGGCACGAATGAAGGGCAACGTCCACTGTTCCAAGGGAATACGTGTAATTTTGCCTTGGATAAGATCACGCTGAATTTGCCCGATGTCGTCAGAATCTCGGATGCTCAGCTGGTCCAAGCCTGGTTAGTACTTGGATGGGGGGAAAGCTGCCTGGAAATATCAGGTGTAATACAAGAAGAAAATAAGTCACCATTCCCTTATTGACTGCTTAAGCTGATAAAATTAGTGGTGCCTATGGGCAGAATTATGTCCGTACATTTAGTCATGGTTTCTCATGATTTGTTTAAAATATAAATTAAAGATTTGCCCAGAAAATAATTTCCTTTTCTATTTAATAATTATTTTTTACATGTTTTGGTTTTGTAAACGGTAGGTGGATAATTTCATTTCCTAGTGATTTTATGATTGCTATTCTTTGAGAACGTGGCATGATGCAAGAGTAAGTTCTTGTCTTGTTAGTACTGTTTAATTTGTATGATGTGTTTTGTCTTGTTTCTGTTGCATGCCTTGTATCTCCTATTTTGTTTTGCCTCGTTCGTTCTGTTTCCCTGAAGCTGTATTAGCACATGATTTGCATAAATGGTAAACTAATGATTTTTTAGAGGCTTGATTTGATACATGTATTGGGAGCATTAATTGATTCATCCTTGCGTCTAGTACACAGCTACCTTAAAATCTCCCCGTCCGAAGTTCATGAAAGGGAATTAACGCAATTTACACTTAATTTCTTATTCCTAATTTAAAAGGCACTAATTATTGTGTGTTACGAGCGGCAGTCACGCGGTTGTTTGGAATGACACCAGTGTTCTGCAATTTCCACACTGTACACGACGCTCTTTGATGCAAATGTGTGGGACTCGAGTATTTGACAATGCAAACGTCGGCCGATTTTGAACGATGTTCACACACTGAATGTCCGGCGGGAGAACAGAGAGCCATTGATTGTGTGGAAGTGGTCCTAGGCACATTCAGTCCAGCATTTTGAACTATACGCGCTTGGAGTTTAACGTTACAGTTGCATGCGTGCCCTTCCAAACCCCTGAATATGCTTACTCCCTGTATAGGTCCCGGTGCACGTGGTTGTGATTCAGTGACTTTGAGGCAAGGGCAATTGGTTGTTAAAGGATGTTGGTAAAAACGTAGGGCGTATTTATCTGGTGGCGTGGTGCTACCAAAGTGTTAAATGCGTTGGGTCTACATGCAACTGTGCAGCGATGGCATATGTAAGGCTTTTGCTCTTCGGAGCTGTACATTTTTAAAAGTGCTTGTTGTTTAGAGAGCACACTCCAAAATAAGTTTTTTTTTTATTTACCTTTAACAGATTTATGTTTCTGGATTGCTTTGCTTGCAGTTTGATATTCTCATGATGGCTTGCTTCGTGATTCTTGTGAAGGATATTTCTAAGTTTCGCGTCACAGTGGACATGTTCGAAAAGCAGTTTCATAATAATAAAAATGTACAATGCGCATTCCATCCCAGGATCCCAATGCGCAATGCATGAAAAGCAGGAAACAAAAACAACCAGGACAACTGACCCAACTAAAGAGGGAAGGCCAGTTTAAAGAAATGGCTTTCAAAGCAGACTTAAATTTATCTACCTACTCTTGATTGGCTATTTTCAAGTGGCAAGGCTTGCATAGCTTGGGTGCCACGCAAACAAAAGAGAGCAATCTAGACCTGGGAGTGCTGAACAGTTGGAGATCGGAATATCTTAAGGACCTTGATGAAATGTATAAATGCATTTTATGGGGTTTTTTTGTTCACAACAGAGGTGAACTGTCAGTCTCCATTCTGGTTACCTGTTGATTTATCTCAAGTAAATGTTTTATGAATGTTTTTTTATACGTTTCACAGTGTGTTTGCAAACCAGATGGTCCATCTTGAGGGATTTTCGTCATGAAATATTTAATAATAAATTGTGTCCATATGAGCATTGGGTGGCATTGTCCCCATAGCATTGAACTCCTCTTCACCAGCCATCTGTGCTGTTGACTTCCCAAGTCTTCCGTCTTTCTTCTATTTACATTCGCATGCATCAAAAGTATTGGTTCTTTCACGATTCCATGTGTGTGGCGAGAGCTTAAGAATGTCTTTTTAAAATCAAAAACTGTCCCGTTACTTTATGATTGATTTATTTTTACTTCTACTTGCCTCTTTTATACTATTGTGCATGGTTGCGCTTTATTTTGCGCGCGGTTGCACATTATTTTGCTCGGTCAGTGTCAGCTGCCGAGGTCGTCACAAGGTTTATTTTCTCATTCCTATTGTTGCATGCCCCTCTGTACCATTCCCGTCCCATTGTAAATAGTGCATCGGTGCACATTTATTGAGGGCAATATTGGAACGTAAAATACTTATTGATTTTAATCACTCGTCACCTTTTGTTCATCCCACCGACCCCCCCCCCCCCTTCCCAATAGAGCAATGGAGTCGACTGAATCGACGGAAGAGGTGGATGAAGTGTACGTGGACTTCGTTCACGGTGACTCAAATGCCACAGGTTGGTGTGCGTTGGCTGCGGCAGTGCTGTGGTTACACGTGCATTGGGCAATCTGTTAATGTTATATCAGAGTTATGAAAGGCAGAGGTTGCAATCCATTGCTGTGACTTGAGTCATGGCCTGTAATTGGATTGGTATCAACATTTGTTATTTTCAAGACAGTTGCTGGGCATAGGCCCAAAACATCAAATGGGCAGCAACAAACGGCACGATCAAAGTTATACGAATAAAGAGTTAACAAATGTTTATGATATTCTTAGTTTTTTCGGTAAAGTCACGTTGAAGAGAAACAACAAAATAACAAAATATATATAAAACAATAAAAAATTCTCACGACGTTTCGACCATAACTCAAACGGTCATCATCAGGTGTGTCGGTTTGCATAAATGTATTTTGAAAACGGCATATTTATTTATTTATATATAAAAAAACGTTTGCGTCACGCGCAACGATTGGCAGTTTGCCCAGGACTAGTCCATCTATTTTTTGAAAAGAGGAGGGGGGAGACGAAATTTGTTTTTATGTATGCTGTCTGAAAGCCACTGTAAGCGTGAACAATCATATGCCGTTTTCAAAATAAATTTATGCAAACCGACACACCTGATGATGACCGTTTGAGTTATGGTCGAAACGTCGTGAGAATTTTTTATTGTTTTATATATATTTTGTTATTTTGTTGTTTCTCTTCAACGTGACTTTACCGAAAAAACTAAGAATATGAATTACTGCAGTCACGAAAGCTTTAAATCAAAATGTTTATGAGTTTAAAATGAGCAATTTATTGCCGGTCTCGCTTTACCAGTTGTCTGGAATTCCCTTCGTCAGAATTCCGGTGGGGAGGAAATAAATCCACAGACTGGCCAATCAGATTTATGGTTTGTTTGCGCGAAAATTCAATATTACTTTTAATTTAACATGTACCGTGTAATTCACTCCGCAGTGCGGTGTTGACCATTTACTCGCGAGTTTTTGTTTACTCACGATACCTCATCATGGCAACATATTTTTACCAGCTTTAAGTTTTCTTCAACTTGTTGTCCAGAAATGTCATGTGCTGGGAGAAATCAGGCCAACGTGAATAAACTCAAGTTGGCGGTCCCATGGAAATCGAGTTTTCTATCGGTCAATCTTAAATTTATATCGTGCCTTTTTTTTAAAGGGATCGCTTCAACGCACATTCACAAAATGTAATAAAAATATATGAAACGATTGGAAAATGTTTCCATGACAAGGAGAAACACTTCAAAAAGGTAGTAAGAAGTGGAAATACATTTAGCAAAAAAAAGCAATACAATTATGTAATACAATGGCATTGTAAACCCTATTTCATAAAAATATATTTTAATTATTGCTTTAAAAACAGCAACAGAGGCAGCTCATTCCATGGTTTATGTATTATATTGAACTTCTTTCGCACCGTATGTAGTCAACCATGTTTCGGAACTGCAGGGGGAAGAACATCAAACTGAATTCCATGTGGGCAAATGCTCTACTACCTGCATTCTCTCTCTGCACCATCGGCATACTGAGCAAGGCTGCAATCATGTGACTCAAGTGGCCAACGAGGGGCGTATGGTGTGATCAGTTTTTTTTAGGTTAGGGGGGACCACGGTCATGCAGAGCTGTATAGGTGAGACGCCAGGACCTTAAAATCAATCCTGAACTGAACAGGAAGCCAGTGCACGTCAGCCAATGCAGCCTGGGTTGTACACTCATTTGTGGTTCTGGTTATAACTGGCAGCGGAATGTTGTACAAATTGTATTCGAGAAAGGGCACGACTTGAAAATGCAGAAGAAAGGTTGATGGCAGTGATCTACGGTGAGGGGAAAAAGTATTTGATCCCCTGCTGATTTTGTACATTTGCCCACTGACAAAGAAATGCTCAGTCTATAATTTTAATGGTAGGTTTATTTGAAGAGTGAGAGATGGAATAACAACAAAAAAATCCGGAAAAACGCATGTCAAAAATGTTATGAATTGATTTGGATTTTAGTGAGGGAAATAAGTCTTTGACCCCTCTGCAAAACATGACTTAGTACTTGGTGGTAAAACCCTTGTTGGCAATCACAAAGGTCAGTTGTTTCTTGTAGTTGGCCACCAGGTTTGCACACATCTCAGGAGTGATTTTGTCCCATTCCTCTTTGCAGATCTTCTCTAAGTCATTAAGGTTTCGAGGCTGACGTTTGGCAACTCGAACCTTCAGCTCCCTCCACAGATTTTCTATGGGATTAAGGTCTGGAGACTGGCTAGGCCACTCCAGGACCTTAATGTGCCTCTTCTTGAGCCACTCCTTTGTTGCCTTGGCCGTGTGTTTTGGGTCATTGTCATGCTGGAATACCCATCCACGACCCATTTTCAATGCCCTGGCTGAGGGAAGGAGGTTCTCACCCAAGATTTGACGGTACATGGCCTCGTCCATCATGCGGTGAAGTTATCCTGTCCCCTTAGCAGAAAAACACCCCCAAAGCATAATGTATCCACCTCCATGGTTGACGGCGGGGATGGTGTTCTTGGGGTCAAAGGCAGCATTCCTCCTCCTCCAAACACGGCGAGTTGAGTTGATGCCAAAGAGCTCCATTTTGGTCTCATCTGACCACAACATTTTCACCCAGTTGTCCTCTGAATCATTCAGATGTTCATTGGCAAATTTCAGACGGTCATGTATATGTGCTTTCTTGAGCAGGGGGACCTTGCGGGTGCTGCAGGATTTCAGTCCTTCACGGCGTAGTGTGTTGCCAGTTGTTTTCTTGGTGACTATGGTCCCAGCTGCCTTGAGATCATTGACAAGATCCTCCCGTGTAGTTCTGGGCTGATTCCTCACCGTTCTCATGATCATTGCAACTCCACGAGGTGAGATCTTGCATGGAGCCCCAGGCCGAAGGAGTTTGCCAGTTCTTTTGTGTTACTTCCATTTGCCAATAATCACACCAACTGTTGTCACTTTCTCACCAAGCTGCTTGGCAATGGTTTTGTAGCCCATTCCAGCCTTGTGTAGGTCTACAATCTTGTCCCTGACATCCTTGGAGAGCTCTTTGGTCTTTGCCATGGTGGAGAGTTTGGAATCTGATTGATTGATTGCTTTTGTGGACAGGTGTCTTTTATACAGGTAACAAGTTGAGATTAGGAGCACTCCCTTTAAGAGTGTGCTCCTAATCTCAGCTCGTTACCTGTATGAAAGACACCTGGGAGCCAGAAATCTTTCTTATTTAGAGGGGGTCAAATACTTATTTCCCTCATTAAAATGCAAATCAATTTATAACATTTTTGACATGCGTTTTTCTGGATTTTTTTGTTGTTATTCTGTCTCTGTTCAAATAAACCTGCCATTAAAATTATAGACTGATCATTTCTTTGTCAGTGGGCAAACGTACAAAATCAGCAGGGGATCAAATACTTTTTTCCCTCACTGTATCCTAGATGTTATAAAGGAGTGCATTAGTCTCCCAGTATCAGACAAACATATATAAAAATTCAGCAATATTTTGTAGATTAAAAAATATACCTCAGTAACATGCCTGACAGGTTGCTCAAAGGAAATATCTTGATTGAGAGTAATACCCAAGTGTGTATATTCACGTATTTACGTATTGAATGTTTTGTGTGTTGCAGATGCGATCGCGCTATCTGCGAAGATGATGCAGGATCCTCAGGCGCTCGCGGCCATGCAGGAACGAGGGGATACACGTACCACGTCGCCCTCCGTCTACATGGAGAGGTACACGGAGGGGATTTTCTCACCCAGTTTGTCGCCTCCTCTCCTATGTGTATACATACATTTCCAGACAGTTTTTGGCACAGCACGGGAGACATTCATTATTCTTTGCTACTGTGATAGTACGTTTTATGTTATGCCCCTTCGATCGAGCCGCATGTGGTGGATGAAAGAGCCGCATGCGGCTCGGGATATGCCATTTGGCCACCGCTGGTCTCCATGGAGAGGTACACGACTGGGACTTGCTCAGCTGGGAGGTCTGCACCTCCTTTGCTTCCCCTCGAGGCCTCGAACTCCCTCCCTGACCCATAGCCACTACTGCCTATGCATGATATAAAGTCATAAGTCAAAGTGATTTCTCACTCAAACCAGCGTTTGAGGCCTTGCTCAACTCTTTCCAGCCCTGAGCTAGTTGTGGAAAATACACTTTCCTCGAACGGGAGTGAAGCTAGGCATAGGACAACCGCTGGTGACTTCCCCACAAAGCGGTCCTCATTTTATCGACTACCGAAGGAATGATGGGGTTGAGTCACCCCGCCCCACCCAGGAATATGAACTCGAAACCTTCCCATTGGGAGCTGCTTGCTGTACTGCTGAGCCCACCTGTATTAAAATGGACCCCAATAATTGACAGCGGGGTGTAAAGTTTAATAAAAAAAATGTACCTCCGCCCATGCCTGCTCTCAAGCCTCCAGCCCAAACATCGAATTCCATGACATGTTGGTGCAAGTTTTAGCACGGCTACATACAGCAATGCCCGGCAGCCTGTTCTATGCACAGCCAAGCAACTCTTCGTATGTGGAGGTTGAGTACAACATTGGTGTTTGTGTTCGTGTACATGTGTACTCTGGTGTGACCTGCAACGCTCGGCTTTTGAAATGATCAATTAATCGATTGATTATTGCATTGATTAATGAAATAAAAAAGAAAGCGTGTAATTTGCATTTCCAATCTCCAAGGCTTCAAACCGACACTGATGAAGTATAACACTCGCGCTTTCCTTTGTGGCGCTTGACACGGTGTGCCGGCTTCTTGAATTTCCCCCAGCGGTATAAATGGGCACACCACAGTCGATTGGCAGGTCGCGTATAGTGGGCTAAAGTGTGGGTACTCCTACCTTTTCTGAGATGTCTGGCGAGCATGGAAGGGTAGTCGAAAATACCGTTCGAGAGGAGCTGTCTAGAGCTACCTGTAGTGGAGGCGCATCCGCCAGCAGTGGCACGAGCAAGTAATTGCAGGGCCTGACCTTGACCCTTCACCTATGAGGGCATACGTAGGTGTCTTATTTAGACACGGTGTCTTATTTGTTGACGAGTTCTTGTTTCAGGGAATGACTTATGAAGTGTGACACTAGCTCTGCTGGTGTTATGGATTGTTGACTTGTCATTTCCATGTATGTTGGTGGACACGCTGGTTTAATTTAACACGTAGGCTTTCGCGACCAATATTTAAACTACTCGAAAAACGTGTTCATCAACAAATTGACAAAACATCCCAAAGCTGGACCAACCTGAAAATGTCTTGAAAATGTGCGTGGCTTTCCTGGGTGATTAATTATTTAGGTTTTTTTTAACAAACTTAACGCATTTGTCAATAACACTACCCGAAAAGGAATATATAATGGCCCTTAATAGCTATGCCAATACAGTATCACAGTAAAGCGTTGCCTAGTGGATAAGACAGTAATTTGTGTGGAGCTAGTGTTTGGCAAATGATGTCCCCATCATGTTGATGGAGAAGGGGTTACCCAGCAGTGCCATCTATATTCGCCGTGTTTGTGGAGTCAAGTTAATTGTTTAACCAGGTGGAGGACAGCTTTAAGTTGTAGATGTTAGTGAGTGGGCTGGCAAGATTTCCTCTCCAGAGACGAGCAAGTTTTGCAGGCACGTGCAGCGTCACGAATTTTAGGTTGCCTGTAAAGTAATTTGTCCTTTTAATTAGAAATAGTTTTGACATTGTCGAACTCAGCAACGCTACCCCTCACAGGTATTGACTTGCTGCTGCTGCTGGCTGGGCAGCAGACAAAGTTACAAACTTGCCTTGGTATGGAATCCTAGTTCCAGTTGCAGTGTTGTATTTGTATTGTTATCCGAAGCCTTTCTTGGGTTGACCAACTTTTCACACAAATCTTCTTTATAACACAAGAGATCTTGGAAGTAACAGTTCAGTATTGACTGCTTTTTAACTGGGCTTGGAACCAGGATCTTAGGCGTGCCACCCCAAATAATGGCACGAGTGTCAACCTTCTGGGACACCCAGGCCCAGTGCTTCAACTCGATGTTTAATGCCCGTTTTTCACGTGCACATACGTGTTGCGCCAGCATGGAGCCAGCTTGGTTCCAGCACACACCGGTGGTTTTCCACTTGCATCTTCCGGAGTCGAGCAGGAACAGAGCTGCCCTATGCTGGCTTCATTTGACATCTGGCATTGGTCCAAGCCGTGCTAGGGATGAGGCTCATGATCCATGCGATGTATGTGATGTCAGTCGGAACACAAATCAAACCCGTTCACAAATCTCAGTGTGGTCCACCAACCCTTGCCTTCAAAGCAATGGACAACAGTGCATGCATGTGCCACCACTCAATTTAATCGTTGGTACATTTGCTATTGGCACCATTCTTGTAGCAACAAGGCTATCATCAAGTTGCTGTGTTTCACAGACATTTTGCAATAATTACAGTTGGGGGCGATGCTGCTGTGTGTAATCCCAATTGAGTATTCTTTTCCGGGTTAAATTTCATAACAGTTATATCGTGGAGTCTTTAAAGTCCACTGTGAAGCAGATGGCATGCAATTTATGGTTAATACACCGCAATAACCAGGGTGGTCTGCTGGATTCGAACTGCGAACCCTCTCAAACAAGCAGCGAATGTGTTCCCCGCTGTATCATGTGCGGATGGATGGACGAGCCATTGGGCGGGTGAGCCTTGGGGTGGGCGAGGGAGCGATCGGGCAAGCTGACGTGGCGGGGGGGGGGGCGTTCTTCCCGTGCGCGTCCCAGTTTGCCCAAGGTTGTGAAGAGGCGCGTGAACGCGCTGAGGAACCTGCAGGTTAAGTGCGCGCACATCGAGGCCAAGTTCTACGAGGAGGTGCATGAGTTGGAGAGGAAGTATGCCGCCCTCTACCAGCCGCACTTCAACAGGGTGAGGGACGCACGCGCGTGGCTGCCCCACGCACATTCGCTCACTCGCCTGCTCATATAAGAACTCGCGCGCACACACACATTACCAATGCTTGCGCTGGGGGTCACTCGCCTGCTCATATAAGAACTCGCGCGCACACACACATTACCAATGCTTGCGCTGGGGGTGAAATGATGAGTTAACCCCTGAGCAGGATTTGAACTTGTGACATTGTTACGTAAAGAGTCATGATAGTCGGTCATGGTTAAACCTGCAGAAATAGATATTGTATTCGCAGTGAATGTTAGGTGGAATGCTTAGAATTAAATTATGCCTCAAGCACAAGACCATGATTAAATTACCCAGAATGCTTTAGTTCTTGTCAGATCCTGCTTGCTAAGCAGGATTGAGTCTGGATAGTGCTTGAATGGGCATCCACCATCCACGCCGGGTTGTCATTCACAGCTGAGGTGCTGTACTACGTGGTGATGACCAGAGGGGCGTGCAGCAAAATGTATTGTTGTACTGTGCTCCTATGCTCCCAAGTCTATGCTTTCAATTTTCACTAGCCTGAACTGACCAGCTTGATGAAGTATGCTCAAACAACCCCTGCCCACCCCCCCTCATAAAGAATAAAACTCGTGACGTTGACATTTGGATTTTCTGCTGAGCGCTGAGCGCTTTGTCAACATTGGCAGGGCAGCTATCGGCAACCAGTAGATCAACTGAAGCGTAATGGGTTGTTGTTGGTGGTGGTGTTATACAAGCATGTGAAATGGCCGCTTCATTCGCCCCACATAAATTGTCCTAATATTGCTAGAAATAAATAGATTGTACAAGCGTGTAACGCGATAATTGTTATTGTTTCAGCCCACCAGTGAATTGAACAAATTCCAAAACCAAAGTTAGCAATTGGACACGGCAGTTCACTGGAAACTGCATCAAGCATCTTCTTGACCTCATGGGTTTCTGTACTGACACCTACCCTGAATTGTAACAATGTCGACTTGTTGGAGGGGTGAATTGTTGCATTCCTAATCTTGATGTTCAGTGTACTGTACTTATAAACTAAAAATTTCTACATTTATTTTAATGCCTTGCTCACCACGCCTTTTGCTTGTTGTATTTGTTGTTGTAACTTGGTGACCCCGCCCCCTGCTGGACATCTCTGAAAAAGAGCTTCACAGCTCATCGGATTCCTCCGGGATAAATGAAGATTCTGATAAAGTATCATGCCAGACCCACGAGTGTTGATGTTTTATATTTACCTACAGAGGCGAGAGATCGTGAGCGGTGAGATTGAGCCCACAGACCAGGAGTGCGAGTGGGTGGAGGAGAAAGATGAAGATGCAGAACTTGCTGTGAGTATCTTTAGGGTAGAAGGGTGGTGCAGCGGTAACGCCTTCGCCTCACAGCAACGTGGGCCGAGGTTCAATTCCCAACTCGGGACACCTTTCTGTGGAGTTTGTAAGTTCTCCTGTTCTGCATGGATTTCGTGCAAGTTGTTTGGTTTCCTCTCATGGCTAAAATAAAACATGCATTGTAACTGCTATTGACAAAACAACCGGGATCACACATAGCAACATCACCCCCTACTTAGATCACATATCGTAACAAAAAATAAACAAAAAACTTTTACTGGTAGGAACCTCCTGGTTACACCAGCCCACAGTGGATTATTGTGTCTGTCCGTCGTGCATCCAAAAATGGGAGGGTGTCGAGGTGCTGGGTGGGGAGGGAGGGGCTGGGTGGGGAGGGAAGGGGTGGGGCTGGGTGGGGAGAGGCTGGTCACCCCGTGGTGCCCTTATAAAACTCAACGTTTAACCTACTCACGCCGGCTTGTGCCCGCCCTCACAGTCGGGCATATTTGCGGAATACACCACATGGTGCCGCCGTTGACCCTGGCCATTGACTGAGCAACCCAACGTTCCTACCATCTCCCTCCGCAGGAATGTATTTAATTTGACCAGGTAAGGCCCACTGAGCTATATAGATCTTTTTTAGAAGTGACCTGGCCACAAATGATAGCTCAACGAAGTGGCTTGTGTGCAAATTTATAGCAGCCAAATAATCTAAATACATGTTTCTAAATCTGGAGGGAAAAACTGCTGGACCCGGATAAAAAGCATCGCAACCACGGTGAGAATATACAAACTCCAAATATACAGTGGTCGGGATCGAATCCACGACCTGCATACCAGGTAAGGTAGTTAACATCTCGCCACCGCAGCGCCCCCAATAACAACGATACTAACAGTTATCATCAAGCTATCGCTACCACCATTATTAGCTGGACAGATAGATAAACATTGATAAGCAGGTAAGGAGTTCATTAACACCAGACGTCTCTATTTAAATGGATATCTTGAGTTTCAATAAGTACAGCAAAACAGCAAATCAAACAATACAATGAAGCAACACCACTTTATATATTTACAACAAAATTAAGAACACATTTTGTGAATATATCTGAGTGTCCATCGAGGAGATGAATTCCATTTGCCTGCAGGTGCTTGGTATATTATTACAGAGCAGAATCGTGAGTTGGCAGTGCCTTCAGTAGGCCTTCAACAATGTATTAACAATGGCTAATAATATATTAGGCAATATACATTCAAAACATGCATTAAATCTGGCATCAATTTCATCACCAGGTCTCCTGTGCTTGTTTAACACAGCCACCTTAATTATTGTCATTTATTTAAATAATTGTAACCAGAAGTCACCCATTGACATTTTAAAAAGTTACATTGACTTATTAGTTTTAACCCTTGCCGGGTAGGGAACCGGCTGAACTTTTCGGTAACAATTTCAACCAAACGACCCCAAGGCAATGCTCGACACAAATACAATTTCAATTGGTAGCTACGTCAGCACTGCATTCATTCCCCCCCGACCCTCCCACCGCGAAGTTACTATGACATTTCATGATCACTAGGTGGCAGCACTGGTCCCTTTTATGCAGAAACAGACTTGATAAGCCGACAATGTGTCCTTCATATATGTCTCCCCACGTAAAATAAAGTATGGTATTTTGTCACTTATATGCCTCGGCTGATAAGACATTGTATGCTGAAAACAGTCCAGAATTTGCTTGCACTTGAATCAATTACGTGGCCTCACCCAAACATTAAACTATGACTCCGAGATACCCTATGACGTGATTTACAAGAGAAGGACATTAATGTTCTGCGTCCATGGGCCCGATCCCAAATCACTTTAGAAATCTAAACTTTTTTTTATATTGAATTACCATTATAAAAATGTGTTTTGTCGTAGAATATGTCAGGTTCTTACCTGCTGAAATAAACTACATGAATTAATTTAATCGCCATTCCCTACAAAATTGTGACATGCATGTGTTTAATTTACAGCCCTTTGTTAATGAGCTGCTGGTTGAAGGCCTCTCTCATGCTGTTTGTCTTGTGCTATTTGTTTGACCATACTTTACAACTCTATCCAGTTCATGTTGGCGAGGCAACATTGCCAGGGCTGGTTCAGCTATCACTCGTCACTGACGATAGCCGTGGCTGGGTGTCAGAGCTCAAAAAGCCAAAGTGCACTGTGAACACGGCACACGTGAGTTTGATTCCCTGCCACAGCTCATGTCATTGACGAGCGATATCTGAACCACTGCGGGGCACCTCCATGTAATTCGGAGTGTTGGTGACTCCATGGTGTAGGGGCGGCTAATACTCTTACAGCACTGAGCCTGCAATGCTGGTATTCTGGGTTCTATTCTGTGCGGCCACTTAGCAATGAATGGAGTTCTCAGGTGTAGTGAGTGCTGGTCTCAGCCCAGTTTTAAATTACTGCACAAAAACCCGGAATTTTAAGTGTATTTTTCATGGTATTTGGCTTCTTACATCTTAGTGCTGAATATGTCCGGTGAGTTAACACGTAACGGATACTTTTTGTGGGACATATAAAATGTGCGCCACCGGTGTTTCGACGGTGGCCTATTGAAGTGACTTGAGAAGTAGTTATCTTCGATTACTTTCTCGAGCTCAATACAATGCCGATAGCACAGCGGGATGTCAATTGGGATAACAAACAATGAACCTAGGATTTTAGACAAAGGCCCCTTATCATAGTTCTCAACAGTGACAATCGTGTAAATTCACCCGATCGCAATAGATACCTATTTCTGTGTTATACAGCAGTGGTAAAAAAAAAAAGTCTACACCTTATTAATTATTCATTATCACGGCATCACCGCCTCCGGAAAATATTCTTTCCGTGTCTGAAAGCTTGCCCATGCTTACGTGCGGTTTGCCCAGGCAGCTGCCCAAAGCGTGGTTTCATTTGAGGTAACGCTGAATGGCCATCTGTGTGCAACACAAACACACATTCCCGTGTCAAGTTGTCTTTTACCGGCAGACTCTCTTTAGCGTTACAACACTACCTTTGTTTAAATAAACACGATAGGTTTTTTCCGTTCCGCTGGCTCTGTTGTTGATAGTTATCGCTGGCAGGTGATTGCAATGTGGCGGAGCCGTGTGTTGTTTTTTCCAGTGTTGCCTGCATTGGGCGGGACCAAATGTTACCTAAGCAGCGCTCCAAGGTTAGAGCAGTTGGGAGCGCTCGGCCCCTAATTGAAAGGTCATGTGAGGTCAAATAGCAGTCAAGGTCACGTCACACTGATGTCCCTGTGGGGGTGGACAATACTCGTCCTGCCATTTCCATTAGGGATGCGAACGACAACTGGTCAACCAGTAATCAGACAGACTGTTAAGAAACTGGGTGCCACAAAGAAACTTCATGAATTAATACATTTTCAGTTGAAGGGGAGTGGTCAACAATTTACCGTATTCCCCGGATTATTTTCCGCACTTCCGATTAGCACGGTTGGCTGTGTACGGCGCAAAAGAAGTTCAACATACGTACATTATAAGTTGCCCCGGAAAGTAAATATGCACGCCAAACCTCTGTGTATGGTGTCAATAAACGTATACAAATCTGATCTCGTGCGCACAAACACCTCGCGGATTATAAGACACACCCCCGACCTTGACTTCACAACACATGGAAAAATTTGATTGATCCTCTTTTATGGTGATGTTTCACCAAATCCGTTAAGGAGCAGGAAACCAGGGTACCCGGAGAAAACCCATGTGTGTGTGAGGGGGGTGAGTGGCAGTGCTTAATCCCATACAGATGGAAATCATTCCACTTTCTGTACTTCAGCACCCCCGACAAGCCAGGAGGAGGGCGACCTCGACGGCCATGGGTAGGAGAGGGAGTTATACGAGATCTAAGAACCTTCCTGCATTGGAATGTTTGGCCAATTCTACTGATGAGTGTTTTGGTATGCGAGAGGAAGCCAGATCACCCGAATTAATCCATGCATACGATGGAGTTAAAACTGGAAGCTCCACCTCGATAGCTTTAGAAATTCATTTTTGTACCACTTATCTGGCCATCTTGAACACTTGGTGTTCCCATCCACCTATGAACTGGGCTTGACCTTCCGATTAACGTGATTTGCTAAATACGGTGCGAAAGAAGTTCAGCATGCATCTTGACGAGATTAGGTACATCCAGATGATTGGGTCACATGCTCGGGAGACCTCGGGTCTGCTTGGCTCACAGGCTGACGTGTGCCTTGTGTTCCACGTGCTTGTTTTTGCGTGCGTATGGGGCGACAGGACGAAGTGATGGAGAAGGTGAAACTGAGCGAGGAGCAGAATGATGCCGAGAGTGCCAACCCCAACGGTATTCCCGAGTTCTGGCTCACGGTCTTCAGGAACGTCGATCTGCTCAGTGACATGGTGCAGGTGTGTGCCGCGCAAGGTCAGGGGGTCAGCGTCTCTCGTTGCCGAGATGTAAACTACCTCGCCTGGTGTACAGGAGGTCGTGGGTTCGTTCCCGGCCCTTTTGCAAATTTGGAGTTTGAATGTTTCTCCCCATGGTAGCATGGATTTTTTTCTCCATGTCCTATTTTTCCCTCCACATTTTAAATCAACATACGTTTAGAGTATTTGGCTACTATAAATTTCCACGTGATAAGCCACTTCGTTGGCCTATCATTTGTGGCCAGGTTGCTTCTGAAAAAGAGCTGTATAGCTCAGTGGCACTTACCTGGTCAAATAATAGTTTTTTAGTTTAAGTTCTAAATGATATTTGAGAATTTGTAGCGCGAACAGTTTTCATTCCCTCTCGGAGAGATAGAGATTCGGAGGCGTGGCAAGCCACCGACAAGCAGGAAGGCAGCCTGAACCGGTGCCACAAAATCGCCCGAGATCTCTGGTCCTATTTTGGGATGTTTAGCCAACTCCGTGGGTTGTTACACATGAGGCAAGTAACTGGAGTACCTGGATAAAACTCATGCTTGCGGGGGGGGGGGGGGGGGGTACAGAGTGTATACATGTTGAAATTAACCCACTTGCTGCCGTACTTGCCGTACCATGGCAAGCCAGGAGATGATGACCTTGATGCCCACGGGTAGAGAAGGGAGTTTGACGAGTTTGTATGATCCATTTTAGTTTGTTGCCCTTCCCCCGCACCTCTGATTAGCAATGTTGGATACGTAGTACGGTGCGAAAGAAGTTATACGTGCATACATACAACCCTTGCCCCTCCACTTTGTTGGATTACAGGCATGTGGCATAGTCACCAGTGTGCGCTGCCACTTTCCAGCAGCTGTTGACTTTGCCACATTCTTCATAAAGCACAACGTTCTGTGTTAAATACTTTTTGGCTTTGTATGCTTCTGCCTTACGACACAGCTGCAGTTATTGAGGCACTGCATGGAATATTTGCCCATGTCTTTGATCATTAATGCAGCAGAGGCATTCACAGACGTCTACACCCAAGCAGATGAGCCGTGCAGCTTGGTCGCATGTGTTTACCTTGTGCCTCACAGAGACAACTCATCAGGGGGGTCCCCACTGCTAAAGCGGAAAAAAACTAGTTGGACGTTTGAATGATTCTAAGATTATATGTATGATATAAGGTGCTTTAAATGCTGGCATATTAAAGGTGCCGAATAAATGCAAATCCTTCCTAATTCACTTGCTTTTCAGGAACACGACGAGCCTATCTTGAGGCATCTGCATGACATCAAAGTGAAGTTCTCAGAGCAAGGGATACCGATGGTAAGAAAACAAAATGCGCGGTGCTCGGACGCTGCTTGGCAGTCTCCGTTTTAGCTACCAGTAACCACGTATGGAATGTAAGTAAGACATCCGGTGTGGTCAGGTGGCTAATTGTTTTATTTCCACCACTGGCTCAGGGCTGTAGGCAGGAAGATCGAGCACCGTCTCAAAGCTGTGCACTTTTAAATAATCTAGATTTGAGAACTAATTTCTTCAGAACTGCTTATTGTGTGTCGTCCTTCCCCGCACCTCCAATTTGCACAGTTGGCTACATACAGTGAGAAAGAAGTTCAACACACACGCGTACAATTGAGCAGGAGAGCACTTAATTTTTGTTACTTTGTTTAACACACACGTCAAATACGCAGCGATGGTTGTTGCATGCATTTCGTGCAGCAACGTCTCGCGTTCTTCATAACTGAATTGAAATTGATTTACATCCGAAAAGGAAATCGATTGGCTCTCCGTCAACAGTTGATGCGCGTTGCGTGCGCTCGGGAGTTTTGCCTCTGCGCGGCCGCTCTCGCCGCCGTGTGCGTGCGCAGCCTTAATCGCCGCGTGTCATTGTCACGTCTGCGTGGCGGATAAGGCGGCTTTATTTGGCGAATGCTTGCGTTTGGCGTGTGTGGAATTTGCGTTGCGGCCGCTCCACGTCGGTCCAATCTCGCCTTCCCCGGCCCGCGGGCGTTCGCTTGCTCGTTCCGCGCGTTCCTCCCTGCCCAGAGACGCGTTGGCTCCCTCTGTCGTCCCGCCGGCCCCCCCCCCCTCCCCGCGCATCGTCCAACACAAACCCCCTACCCCACCAACATGCACCTCCGTTCTCGCGGCATTTTCTTTGCCTATAATTTTTTTATGCTTTTGTTTCTTATTTTCATTTGTCTCGACAACATAAAAACGCACAGAACCCCTGGGCACACATGTTCCAAGCGTCTGTCGGAACGTGATTATTATCATAGTCCTCAGCTGTGATCTACTCATGGCTGAAAGAGAAGTAAGAGGAAGAGAAAAGAAAAGAATGAAAGTAAAATCCTGAATGAATCAACAAAAGAGGACAATCTTGCTTTGTCATTTATTTTAGAGTTGGGCCTCAATGATCTGGCCAAATTTCAAGGCCCTCCACCTCCCGAGGTGGCCAAATAAATACAGTTGTTACGAGTACAAGATGTACATGTCGCTTGTATTACCTGGGTTTCAGGCACTGGCTGAGCTCTCGGCTCCGATTTAGAACGTTGGAAGTTCAAATTCTGTTGGGGTTTAATTCAGTCAACCAACTATGACGTTGTTAGAAAGAGTACCTCTGCGTGAAGATAGTAGTTCTATGCATAAACCGGGCCTCGTCAAAGGAATGTGGAATTTACAACATTGACTCAGAGCCACCAATGCAGGTGAGCACACCCTGCATTGGTGGCACTTGGCTTGGCAACATAAGCAAAACTAGATGTCCAAGCCTGCGTTACTCTTCTAGTACAACTTACGGTATACAGCGGAAGTAAAGTTGAGGACTGGAGTGGTGGCGCAGTGGTTGGCGCGCTGCGATATGAACCTGCCATCCTTATTTTAATTCCTGATCATTGCGACCGATATCTGAATTGGTCCTTCACCAACCGGCACTACTGACAAAGCCTGGCTAAGTTTGATGAAACAAACCACCACAACCACCATGGCATGGGCAAGCCTCTATCCAGAAATCAATTGACAAAGGGTACAGTTATTTTTTGAAAAGAAAAGCCGACCATGTAAATCGATGACAAAAATATGTATTGGTGACGTTAAAGTGTGCAGATGGTGGAATGGTTTACTAGTTGCAGCCATTCCGCACCGAAAAGGTCGACTTAATTTTATGTTTACGCAAGCCCTCACAATTTGAAGACCGCGCGTAAAGCTCGCATGCACGCACGCCACACCACATTTCACTGCAAATTAAAGGTTACATTCAGGTGCCTGCATGAGCAAAAATCTGATGATCCTTCCCACAAGCACGCGATGCTATCTGCCCACAAAACTCGGGAAAAAAAACCCCAGCTCTTAAGTCGGGGTGCATACCTTTGGTTTAAATGGTATGTGGCCTTTAAGTCGGTACATCCCTCAGTCCGAGCCTATTGGGGCACATCTGCTGTGAAATGCACGATTTTTTGTTGTTTAATGAGAACTCCAGAAACCAGGATAGTCTCGTTTGTAAGAGTGACCTGTGGCATTAAGTCTGCCAGTAGGGAGCAATGAATATCCTAAATGAGTGTTTGATGCCTGCACACCATGGTTGCTCATCACACAATGGCCCACTCTTGCAAATTATCTCGGAGGATGAGAATAGGTTTTCCCCTTTTTTTCTGGCAACAAAACAGGTGTTAAGATGTTAAAACACCAAACTGAAACCTTTTACAAGGAACCATGTCTGCATTAACTACAATACTTGTGGTCAGAATGCAAATAAAAAACGTACGTAATAATATATGCATTTTTCTGGCAACAAAACACACGTATTGTGGTTAATGCAGACATGATTCCTTGTAAAAGGTTTCAGTTTGGTGTTTTAACATCTTAACATCTGTTTTGTTGCCAGTAAAAAGGGGACAACCTATTCCCATGATGTAGATGCTCACTTTGAGCGAGCCCTCATTACTCTGACCATGCTTGTCTTTGTGCTGTATGCTTTTTGGCGTCCTTTGGTCTAACACTGTTTTGAGACTAGGCTCAAAAGAAAGCTGTCTCTGGTGTGGACCAATCAGTTTCAAAGACGATGCATATATTGTCAGAGTACTTTTTTGTTTGCATTCTGACCACAAGTATTGTGGTTAATGCAGACATGATTCCTAGTAAAAGGTTTCAGTTTGGTGTTTTAACATCTGAACACCATACTCTGGTTCTTTCGGTCAAGTCACGTAGGTAGAAAAATATATATATATATCACGACGTTTCGATTGCATCACAAGCGCTCATCCTCAGGTTGGTTCAGCAGTTCCACTACTGGATTATTTTTTCCGCCTGAGGACGACCGCTTGTGTTGTGATCTAAACGTGATCTATTATTTTTAGTTTTATTTTATTTGTCTGCCTATGTGACTTTACCGAAATAACCAAAGAGTGGATTCCTGCAGTCACGAAAGCTTCAAATCAAGATCTGAACACCTGTTTTGTTGCCAGAAAATAGGGGAAAACCTATCTCAGAGGGTCGTTACCATCCTTCGTGGGGCAGATGACACGCATTAATATGATTTTTACACCCGCAGTGATAATCGAGGCGGCCGCTGTATTGGAAACACGATCCTCGGCAACAAGTGTTACATGCTAATCCCTCACACTAACATTATGCTAATCTCCCAGTTACATGCTAATTTCTGACTTTAACATCCTGCTAATCCAACACATTAACACAGCTACCTCAATGCTAAATTATTCTGTTGATATGTAAACTCCTTCGTCAAGGCGCTCTGCTCCTCCCACCCACTGAAGCGCTGTCTTCCTGACAGTTCTGTTTCTTCACCTGAGGAGGGCTACTTGTCTTGTGGCCGAAACGTCGTGAGAATTTTATTTTATTATGTTTTATTTTTATTATTTTATTTCCATTCTACGTGACTTTACCGAAAGAACCAAGAAGATTAATCCCTGCAGTCACGAAAGCTTTAAATCGAAATTTAAGTGTTGAATTAGGCTGCCTCTAGGCCATGTCCACTGCCCTTACACGATATGCTATGAATAGCGAGACTACGCTGAAAGAATTGCAGTTGACGTTCCTCTGGGCTGAATAACATTTGTACCATAACGCGTAGGTTTTTGCAACCAATATGAAATGTGTATCCTGGAATATGAAAAACAAATACAGCAATGCAGTGTAAAAGTTAATGGCATCAATGTGTATTTCATGTTCAACAAGCACTGGGTTGGTGTTCATCTCTGTTGGCGATCCTCAGATATTGGAGGAATTCTCAACACCACCACAGGACCAGCTGATGACTAGCCTGTGGATGAGTCCTCACACAAGACAATCAATATTGACATACGACAGATAGTATTATTATTGATTTTGGGTTACGCCAAAATATCCATACATGAAATACTTTATTTCGAACGGCTTTTTGTGTTTAATTTGTCCCTCCACCGCACCTCCAATTAGCACGGTTGGCTACGTACGGTGCGAAAGAAGTGCAACATACATGCAGGCCAGGTACTGCTGTGTCTTTTCAAAAGTGTACATATGTTTATAACAGATCTTCGAAATACCAACACACTAGATTAACGTTTGACAAGAAACAAACTGCATTAAGATGTTTTATTTGTTAAACATAGTGCACTTAAGCAGTATGCCTAGAGGTTCTTGTTTGCTTGTGTTTAGATTTCACACTGTAGACTACACCATTCCTGAATGCATGCACTCTCAGTAAGTTGCATAACATTCCCAATTAGTGTCGTGAGACACCTTGTTAAACAACTAATGTTGGGTAATTTTGAAAGACAAAAGTCTTTTTATTATATCGACATAAACAGTCAATACTCTACGCATTTTTGCAACTGCAACAATATATATATAAACCATGCAATTGAAACCAGAAAATAAAACCTCAATTGCTCATTGCCAAATCTGGGCAGACAGTGGCAACATCTGAATCGTAAAAAAAATGTGTCAGCTTTCATGGGCAGCTGAATACAGAAAAACATGAATCCCTTCACTCTATTGTCCTTCTGTAACTTTCTATTGGAGCACAACATTTAAATAGTGGGCTTGTTAATGATAATTTATTTTTTTATCGAGGAAAGTTTCTCATCGAGTCTGAAGACACTTTTTTCTCAAGATAGTCCTGTACAGTAAACCCTTGTTAATTCGACACATGGGGCTCTGGCCTTGACAAATTATCCAATATTCCGAATTGTATATAATGGTACTCCCCAGTGCTTCCTGCCCCAATAATTGTTTTTTTCCGAATTTGTTTTCCAAACTCTGCACACTCCATTCGCATTGACACACACCCTGCATCAATTCTATCCAAAACTTTGGATTTGTTTCGCAGACTTGAGGGATTTATACTTCAGTCCCTTTGTATTACTTCTTGATGTCAGTGTAGATTTCTGAGAGGGTTGGCTTGCACAGAGTGCATAAACAAGGTGAAGTCCAAAGCGACAGGTCTGCACTTAACGCTCGCCATGCGCGCCGCCTTTAGACTGAGTGGTTGTTTTGGTTGTAGCGTGCGCGGCCTCGCTACACGTGTATGTCGAAATTGCACAATTCGGTACGGCAATTTCGGCTCGTTGGGAATTACTAGTACTGTATATATGCCGTAAACGCAGCCGTGCCGAATTGTCCCAATTTAAGAATGATCAAATCCTGAAATAATGAGGGTTTACAGTACAGTAAAACCTTGAATTGCGAGCATAATTCGTTCCGGAAACGTGCTCGTAATCCAAAGCACTCGTATATCAAAGCGAATTTCCCCATAAGAAATGATGGAAACTCGGATGATTCGTTCCACAACCCAAAAATACTGTATTCATATAAAAATGATTAATACAAAATAATTTTTTATATATTTATTATTTAAATTTAATATAAAGTAATCAAATTTATTAATTACATTTAGTCGTGGCTGGTGTGAGGGAGAGGAGGAGGGTTATTGTGTAGGACGACTTTCACTTGCAGTACAGTTACTAAAGAACAGTCACTACACTTGGACACAAAATTAAAAAAAATGCTTTGCGCACACACGTGGTCACAGCACTATAGTAAACAGTATACACGTGGTCACAACACTATAGTACTGTAGTAAACAGTATACACGTGGTCACAATACTATAGTACTGTAGTAAACAGTATACACGTGGTCACAACACTATAGTACTGTAGTAAACAGTATACGCTCGCACGGATGTTGACTATACGAGTGAGGCACGCCGACTGAGACCGAGCATGGGAGATGATTACCTACAATCCCGCAGCGAGAGAGAGAGAAGAACCATTGGCTCAGTTGTGATCACGTGACGCTCGGCAGACAAAGCGTATACTGTACGTACTGCTCGTATTGCAAGACATCGCTCGTTTATCAAATTATTATTTGTTTATAATTTTTGCTCGTCTTGCAAAACACTCGCAGACCAAGTTACTCGCAATCCAAGGTTTCACTGTATTGGGATTTTTTTTCCCAATTTCATTCATATGACGCATATGAGGAGGACAACACTGGAAGCGCCACGCAGATACATTTAGGGATGAATTGCTGTACTGCCATTTCTTGACTGTCTCGCAACCTGAGCCTACAACAGCTGGTATTCCCAGGCAGTTACCATCCAAAAATTAACCAGGCTTAATTCTGCTTAGCTTGTGAGACCGAGCTTGAATGAGTTAATTCATGGTTTTTTCGGCCTCGCTCAAAAGGCCTGCACTTATGGGTCGGCAACCCATTTTCTTTGCTGCTACATCCACGTACAAGTCTGTGTGAACCCCCACCAACAGCTGCCTCCAAGATAGCAGATGTGCGTCACTGCACCTCCAACTAATAAGTTTGATATCTTGTAAAGATGTACATATCTGGGTGGGGTAAACTAATTTCATTAACTCTTAATTGCGATATAACTCGTGTGTCAACATGAGTCATCCTATGGATGCACTGGTCCCCCACCATAGCAATATGGAATTTCCACTTGCTTCTGGATCATCAAGTATTGACGTGCACACACAAGTGAAATGGCATATTTGCACAGCCGCAAGCCTGTTCAGTTTTTTGAGAGCACTTTTTTTTTACCGTTAGAGCAGACCTCGAAATTAATCGCTCGTCAATATTAATTGTCGACAGCGTCGGAGTGATGTGACTGAGGTTTGCCAGTCGCTCGAGGTTACTGTGGACACTTCTCGGTTTACACGCCGTGGCAGCCTGCGTCACTTGCAATGCCTCCCTGGGGCTGTGTCACAAGTTATGTGGTCGCTAGCCATGTAACAATTCACCCCGCACTACTATTCGTTGATCGATTTTATTTTACCAGGTAAGGCCCACTGAGCTATTATAGCTCTTTTCAGAAGCGACCTAGCCACAAATGATTGCTCAACGAAGTGGCTTATCATGTGGAAATTTATAGCAGCCAAATACTCTGAACGCATGTTTCTAAATGTGGAGAGGCATATCGGAAGACCTGGGAAGAACATGCAATTTCCAAATATACAACAGGCTTCAGGATCAAACCCACGAACTCCTATATACCAGGCGAGGGAATTAACATCTCAGTGCCTATTTTTTGTTTTATGATTCGGAGTCATCGCGATTCAGTTTCAAACTCGTTTCATTTATTTTTCCTTCTGAGCTGCTGACCTGTCCGTCTTTACTGTCTTGTTTGTTTACTATCCATCTCATTAGTGCAGTCTGTGTCATCTGTACTGGAGGGCAGTAGATTGAGATGAGTGCGTGGAGGGGAGTGGAGTGACATGAAAGTGGAGAGGTAGGAGAGTGCATAGAGTGGATGGGATGAGCGTGTGGAGGTAGGTCGGGGAGAAGTTCCATGTGGGATCTTGAAGAATGTGAGTGCGATCTTTAAATTGATCCGGGATCGCATTGGGAGCCCATGGAGAGATGGGAGTATTATGCCGATACTGTCGTTTCATCGATTTGGCCATCCCCCCTAAAAATACTACAGGACTCTCTTCATAGGGCACCACGTTGGTGACATGTTAACTCCCTCCCCTGGTATGCAGGAGGTTGTGGGTTCTATTTCGACCCCGACGCCTGTATTTTTGGAGTTTTCATATCTCTCCCCGTAGCCGCGTGGATTTTTTCCAGGCTTTTTTTTACAGGTTTTTCACTCCACATTTAGAATCAACATGCGTTTTAGAGTATTTGGCTGCTATACATTTCCACTTAAGCCACTTTGTTGAGCTAGCATTTGTGACCAGGTCACTTCTGAAAAATAGCTATATAGCTCAGTGGGCCTTACCTGGTCAAATAAAAAAAAATTGTTTAGTAAATAGTAGTCGTTGTGCGATTCACGTCACGGTGTGTGCCCAATTGGTCAAAGGACGTGCATGTGATGTGCGATGTGCGATGCATTCAATTGGGCGGCCACGCATCTGCCCCGGGTGGTGCGCGCGGTCTAGCGTCGCGTGACGGGCGACGGGGTCCCCGTGGCACTGATCGCGTGCGTAATGTGGAGTTCCGCGGCTGATGGATGGCTCTGGGTGTGTCGGATTTACAACCGGGGCGCAACCAACATCCACTGGAGTGAAACTCGATCCTGCGTCAAAATGAACGTAAAAAAACTGCCAACGGCACAAAAACCAGTTTCTGTGAAATTTTAAGACGAATAATAATGGAAACGTAACCCCCACCCAGTGCAGTTAGATCCCTTGATGTCAGGAGATTGCACGTGAGTGGTTTTCATGGATTTCGAAATCCTGTGTTTTGAGACCGAGATATTGAAACCATGGAGAGTTTACAATTGTTACAGGTAATTATTTGGCCAGTGCTTTTTCAGTTTTATACAGAATCAGAATCTGAATGTATTTATACTGAAGGAATCCGATGAGCTATAAAGTCGGGGCTGGTAATACTGTTACAACAACAAACACTACAAAAAACATGATAGTCGTGCAAGTACAAGAAAGGTAAAAGAATATGTAAACAAATCATACAAAAACATACAAATCAAACTAAACCATCCCAATCCTACCAGGGAAAGCCCACTGAGAATATTAACTTATTTTTCAGAAACGACCTGTCCATGAGGAACGCTACACATACATGTTACAATATCTTTTAGAATTATATTATGAATGTTTGTAATCCCACCACCCCACAATTTGTGCTTGTGTATATTTGATAGTGGTAGCAGGGTGTGGTGCTGACCAAACCGAGCCTTATTTATGTGGCTGCTTGCCAGAATAGGCGAGTGCCAGCAGCATTTGCCCCATACAAGTCCATAAGTCTTTGTGGCGGCTTTTTGTGTTTCCATTCCTTGTTTTGGACCTGACCACCATCTGTGTTCCATTCCTGCCCATGATGCGTTACACGAATAGCAATAGGCGCCTCGGTTGGAAAAATGGACACCCATGACATCTGGTGCAGTGGTTAGTGCACTATGCTACAGACCTGGCAAACCGAGTTTAATTTCCAGCCACCGCTAAGATTCGCGGACAAATATCTGAACCGGTCATTGGGCCTCCCCTAGATCTAGATCAACGCCTTAAGTGAGCAGGAGCCATGTGTGGTGCTGGTCACACCATCCCCCCCATGTGTGGTGCTGGTCACACCATCCCCCAGTACGCTATGGTGGCCTCGATAGGAGCTCGCTAACATCACTTGCCCTGACATCCCGTTAAAGGCTGTGCATGTTGTCATTGTGTGTGTGTGTGCGTGCCCATGTGTTTTACCACGAACAGAGCTTCACGCTGGACTTTTGCTTCAGCCCCAATGAGTACTTCACGAACGCTGTGCTCACAAAAACATACGTGATGAAGTCTGAGCCCGACGCCAGCGACCCCTTCTCCTTCGAAGGGCCCGAGATCGTCTCTTGCACAGGGTGAGTTGCGTGAGAGTTCAGTCCAAGTCCTTTAGTATTTTCTACCCTTACCTTTCTGTACAATCAACCCTTACCTGTCAGTACATGCACCCTTACCTGCCTGTAAATACACCATTGCCTGACTGTCTATACACCATTATCTCTATGTTCATGCACCCTCTCCTCTTTTTTAATGCACCCTTACCTGTCATTTTAGAGTGATGCATGTGTACATGTTGTAAATGCGTACGTGTGATTGGGGGAGTTTAACGTTAACCAGGAACCGTTTTCAGGATTGATCACTTGTTTTGAAGGTTAGGAACCAGACGGGTAATAATTTTTCCCCAGTGTTTTTTTTAGTAATGAATGCCGTCGTTTGGCGTTCCCGAACGTACAAATGGGATGGCAATCTAAGTCACCGTGTGGTACTTGTTTGAAAGTCGAGCGTGCTAACCATTCCACTGCAGCAGGACCCTTTTTTGTATCTAAAGCGGTTTATTACAAGACACATTTTCGCAAACTTGGTCACCAGTGTTTTACATGCAGTTACTGATAATACAATTTTTTTTTTATCTTAACCTTACTACGCATATACACTTGGATAATAAGTAAGTTTTATGTAAGGGCGGCCTGGTGACGCAGTAGTAACACTTGTATCTCACAGCAAGGAAAACCTCGGGGCTCTTTTTTTGTATGGCCTTTTGTATGGTTCCTGCCAGATGTGCAGTGTGTGAGTCTGTCAGTGTGTGGCGTTTGTATTTTCTCTTCCTCTTCTGCATGGGTTTCCTCCAGATTCTCCGGTTTCCTCTCCTTGCTAAACCCCACCCCTCCCCACCCCACAGGCAATGTAATGGGTACTGGCTCAAACATCCCAATGCTGAAAAATGTATTAAACATAGCTACAGTGCCCACGAATGCAAAAACTTGGCAGGATCCTCCTGAAAAAGTCCTTCAGACTCAGTGAGGCTTTTCTGGGTAAAGTAGTGTAATAATAAATAATACAGCTATTTAGTGATGCTGAGTGCTGCACAAGCACAATATTAAATTGTAATTATAATCCAACTACCACTGTCACTACGGTCATTATTTTACTGTGGGTTGGCGCTTGCCAAACTATGCAGTAAATTGCAGCTCCTTTCATTGCTGCTACCTCTACCGAGGCTTGTGTCAGTGTGCAAGGTTGATGACCCAGCAGTTAATACGCGAGCGGTGATGATGACACTAAGGGTAGCAAGAGGTGGGGGTGTGCGCATGTGTGGTATTTGGTTAAAAGAATTGAAAGAGGAATTGAATGGAACCCTGAGTAAAGATGATCACGGTATTATCGTCAGTCGTGACAAAATAAGAGCTCAGTGAAGCCTGGAGTGCAGTTGTGGTGTTCCTTTTTTTTTGACACAATCTCAAAGCAAAGGCCCAAAACATCAAGCGGCCAGGAACAGAGACAGCACGATCAAGGTTGTAATAGATAAGAGTTAAGACGTTTGTTCAATTGAGTTACAGGAGTTTGAGAGAGAAAAAAACCTCCCAACGCTTTCACAAACGAGCTCTGGCGCAGCTCTCCGCACCTCCTATTAGCACGGTTGGCTACGTACGCTGCGAAAGAAGTTCAACATGAATTCGTAGAGCTCAACGGCGCAGCCCTTTGTGATGCGTGTCCTGTCATTAGGGCAAGTTTTTTTTTTCTTGTTGTGAAGTGTTAATTCTTCACCGCAGTGTGCATCCGACCAGCACTGGCACGTTCTCGGGTCCGCCGCCGCCGAACATAAACTGCCTTTGACGTCACCACCCCTCCCACCCGCCTCCCCCCCAAGCCTGAACGTCGCCACCGCTCAGGCGATCCCTGCACGCAACCACAGTTGTTTTGAAGGAGTGGAGCGTTTCCGATCGCACGCGACACCAAATCCTCGCCTGAGGGTGGTGGGGGGTGCCATGTCGTTCAGTCCCATTGTCCGCACGCGAAGTCCAAACCCTGCTCCCGCCCCCCATTACCCTTCTCTGCGGTGTGGTTACGTAACCTGTAGCCATACGATCGAGCGTGCACTGGTCCAAATTTGGCCGCCGCTGTTGTGTGCGGGAGACACGGGACGGGCGTTCCGGTCGACAGCGTTGAGACTAAGTGAATTGCCTTCTTTGGTGTGAGTGATGTTATTACAGATATCACATGTAATTGCAGTCCCCTTCCTTCCCTTTTTTTTAACCGATGAGTTTAAGATTGTTGTCTCCATAGAGCACGCCCATTACACGCTCTTTCTACTATTGTATTCTCAGGGTTATAAGACGCACCAATTGGGGGGTGCATTTTTAAATCCTTTAGTTGTGTGTGTGCGTAACAGAATGTGTATTACTTTATTGAAACTAGGCACAAGTTTGGGGGCTGAGTCTTATTCAGAAGATACAGCAACTCGCTCTGCCTCTGAGCCACTTTGCGGCCGGTATAAAAACGAAATAAGCCAGAAAAACACATTTTTGTCTTAGGAAGGAGAGACTTCTTTTTTTGTCTCAGACCTTTTTTCGTGCAAATTTTTTCTTTTTATGATCTCCGCAAAAGAGAAATTCCTAAGTTTTTGAGCGGGGTCATTAAGTAAGCTGCGTTGACGTACATCTGTAAAAAAAAAATGCCCTGGGCATTCGAGTCTTATTACAGGCAGTCGCACGGTAGTTTTGTCCGCAAATGTCAACCCTTGGTGTATTTTTATAATTGACAGAAATGGGTGTAATGGCAGTCTTTCTCAAAAGCAAAATAAAAAAAAAATACTTTTTTCAGCTTTTTCAAGTTCCTTTTTCCCCCTTAATTACATACAATAGGTGCTGCAGTGGCGAGGTGCTATTTCTTCCTCGCCTGGTTTGCAGGACGTCGTGGATCCGATCCCGACTGTGACGCCTGGACATTTGGAGTGAGCTTGTTCTCGTGTGGTGCCCGGGTCACCTCTTAAAAAAGCGAATAAATACAATGGCTTAGTTTATAACCATGTCCTATCTGAGCCCTTTAAAAGACAAACATCCTTCTGGAACACAAGTTACTAGTTTTTGATTACTTCGTTAATGAACATTTTTACGGCGCACTTCGGGTACTTTTAATTTAGAAAAATATTTTATTGCTGCATGGTGGGTCCGCGAAAACAGTGTGAGTGTTCACCGGTTCACGGGGTCCCTCTGAGGTTGGAAACCACTGGTTTAATGAATAGCAACTCAAAGATTGATATCCAAGTTTGAAAGCCACACGGCAGCCATAGGTGAGCCTGAATGAATCGCTGCTGTGCGTGTTCGTTGAATTGACGAAGTTGGCAGCGGTTTACGATGTGGTTTTCGCATTTGGTCAGTCAGCGCAGTTGCATTTCAGCCCTTCTTTGTGTTGCCGCCACCAATGAAGGCGGTGACCGCATCTCGCTAGGGCCCGTGCAGATTTGGATTGAGTGTGCACCATTGTTTTAGGGGGCGGTTGGCACCAGATAGTTTTTGTGAACTTCGCCTTGCATCGTATAAAAGCTATCGCGTGTAGCGTGATATGAACCCCCAACACCCTCCCCCACCAGGTCAAGGGTACCATGCGGTTTGTCCACAGCACTATACCACATGACTGCCTCCCCAATGGGACTACTTGGACAGTGGTGTACTTGCTACCATTATGAAGAATGCTGCCATGTAACCGAAACCCATAATGCATGCTGGCGGTTTATACAAATGAAACGCATGTTGTGATTTTAAAAGACCCCAACTTTGGTGAAGGGCTTTTCTTTTATGAATTAAACAAGAGCAATATGAATGGTCCAATCTATATATTAAATGATGTTATCTTACATATGCAATACTTAAGCTTAAAGGTGTGGACATGCCAAAAATGTCCTGATAATAAAAAAATAACTTTGTGGGGGTGGCAATGGATCATTTTTTTATTATTCAAGAATTGTTTTCCTATAATTATCTGGGTGGTCCTGTGTTTTAGACCACTTGTCTTTCAGTTTAAAAGTCGGGTTAAAATCTTGGTCAGAGGTTAATTTCTGCACGGCCAATGCAATGGGTTTCTCCTTGCATGCGATATGAGCAATGATTGCCCTATATAGTCACTGGTCCCTTCCATAAGAATGTGGATTTTTCCACTCTTTTAAAGGCAACACATCCGGGGCTCTCTTCCCTTTTTACACGCTTTTATTTAACTCACTCTGTTCGTTGTCATTGTTGTATCCTCAAATCTTGTAACTCAATTTTTACCCACTTCCCAATGTGGTATCGACTGCAAACTTGGTATACTTATGTCATACTGATGACAATACCATATTCTATCATAAAAAATAAAAAAACATATTTTAAAACATAATTTTTTATATGTTATGTTTTGCCTTGGGTCTAATTGTCCACGCTAAACTGACGGCTGTAATTCACCACGGTCCCCTTACGTTGTGGCAAGCTTCAGGGCCACTTCCTGGAGTCGTGGAGTTCTTCCATTACTAGTAGGGTACATTTCATTAAAGCGTGTTTTTAAAAAAGTTTTTTAAATATTACATATGTCAAGCGACCATAGCCGAACACATTAGCCTACCAAGTGTTCTCCTCGCGTACACCGCATGTTAATGACAGTCGTCTGTGTAGGTTTTTTCAGTTTTGCTGTACAGCTTTGCTACATGTTTTCAATGTATACTTGTTTTATTCGGCATGTTGTTTTGCTCCATGTGCGTGGGAGCTTCTTTAGGAACTTAAGAGATGTAATTTAATTATTTTTGAGAAGAAGCTCCCCCAGCACGTGGGGCGGCACGTTGCGCGTTGTGCCAAACAACTTGCGGTACGACCTGGAAACGTTTCGGGATGACGGGTCATGTGGCATTTCTGGTGCCAAAGCTTTGATGACATTATTTGCAAGAGTTGGCCCATTGTACACCGGTGCCAAGACTAACATCGGGCTTCGCGAGCAGTCACGCACACTTCTCGGGCGCCTGCAACGCCACAACCGTCTTCGCCCGACAAAAAAAAATCCCGCCTGGATTGACTTTTAACAACCTGAAGCTGCAAATTTTTTTGCGCAGGGGTCTTCATCGCAGTGAAAATACATTTTGCAACCCCAACGTTTTGACGCAAGCGTGACATCGACACGATTTTTGGAGGGGCGACATGCTTTTTTAAGCCTCTCGGCCGAAAACACGTAGGAAAGAAAAGACAAAAAAAGCAAGCATGCATGCGAGCGAGCCAGCGAAGAATTGAAATAAATAAGGGGAATTGGAATTGTTGTGCCCAGTTAAATTCGGCCCCCAGTGAGTGCATTGTGTTGCACGCTAGGGTGCTGGTGGGTGTGTGCCGCGTCTATTGTTCCCAGGTGCTAACAATAGTTTTGGTCGCCGTGTGCATTGCACTGCGATTTAAGCGATGTTGAATGGATCGCGTGCGCCAGAGCGAAAACTTTAGCAGGGGTGGGGGGCGCTTTTGCGTGAGCATTAAACGTACCTCGGGTAGTTGTGCAATTTCGGACGTACATTTCATACACTTTTCAGGGTGTGGGCAATCGGTCGTGTACTCGCGAAGCAGGGTTACGCACACTTGTTGCATGCATTTTAAATCGGTCGTCATTTTTGTCCTTTCCCCCCCCCCCCCCCCCGTGCCTCCGATTAGCACGGTTGGCTATGTACGGTGCGAAATACATTCTACATACATTCTTCAACCGTGGTTATTTATTACAGAAGCCGTAGCGAAAACGCTTGAGCTGACCGAGCTCTCAGAAGTTTCGGGATGGTGGAAATGTGGGGTCCTTCTGTTCGTACGTTCTGAAGTCCGTCCTCTTTGAGTGGCAGTCAAACGGGACGGTGCAGAAACAGTCGGGGAAGTTTTGTGACAGGACGATTCATATTTGGCATTCACTTTTTTATTGCGCAAAGGTGCGAGGAACGCTCAAGGGCTGAGAGCTTTGGGAAGCCAGCTGTCAGCAGACGATCAGTAGACACATCCTAGAAGTGGAGATATGTGTTTTGGCAGCAGACTGTCGGCACAGATCGATTGTTTCTGCAGGAATCCAGTAGTGCAAATAGATATGTGCATGAGCAGCCTTTGCAGGCTTAAACTTGCATCTTTATTATAAATCATCAGCCTTTCATAAAGGTTTGTAATGGGTCTATTTGTTAAAACAAGGTGCATGCCACAAAACAAATACCGTGTGCTATGGATTATAATATAAATCAGAGGTTTAGGGGGTGGGGGGATTGGTGTGTCTTATAATCTGGAAGTCGTTTGTGTGTGTGGTCAAATGTGTATAACTTTATTGATGCTGGACACACTTTGTGGTGTATCTTACTCTCCGGAATGTCTTATAACCCAGATAACATTTTAGCTCTTGCAAATGCTTATCTATCTGCATTGTGGGTTTTCCGTTAGGAGTTTACATTTCATGAAGCATGTTATCACTCTTATGAAGTCACTTTTACATCGCTCCTCTAGGTTTTAATATGTAATTACGCCAATGGCACTATACAGAAATATAAGGTCATCTGACAGTGATTTAAAAGTCTTTTTTTCTCTTGCGAAGCTGCCAACTTTGGCTTGACAGCTCAGGAAGCATATAATTCGTGCATTTCTACAAGGTAATCGATGTTTGTTGGGGGGGGGGGGGGGGGGGGTTTGGCCAGCATCTACTATTGAGGCCTGTGACCGAATTGCCTGTGATGCGCCTCATTTCCTGACGTCTCGGTGGCAAAGCAGGGTTGAGCCTTGTATGGCGACCTATCGTGCACGGCTCGATGTCATAGGCTGCTACGGAGCCATATAGTGGTCACCAGAGGGCAATGTAACAAAATCCACTGTCATACTCAAATTCTGTCCTCCACTCCTTTGGCAACCCACACTGGCCAGCGTGGTGAATTATGGCCAAATAAGCCTCTACGAGCCACACGGTGTGGATGGGGAGTACCTCATCTAGCAGTGGATTAACAAAAAAGGTTGGACATGTTATTAATTATTCTTATGCAGTAGAGGCTCACTGAATCTCAAGGCTCATTTTCAGGAGGGTCCTGCCAAGTATTCACAGTCAGGGATGACGCCGCTGCGTGTGATCCCAATTGAGCAATTTGCAGGAAAAGTTTCAGCATTAGGATGTTGGGCCAATACCAGCCGCAATGTGTGTGCGTGGGTGTGTGTTTTTTTTTAGCATGCACCATCCAGAGGTCAGCTATGCGCTTACAGTACACGAGGTGAAAGTAGCGGTGGGGTAGTCGGATGATGGCGCAGGGAGATAGATTGAGGCAGTCGTGGCACACAATCATCCGCATTGCTCCGCTGAATAGCAACGCGCACCACCCTCGGCTGCCTTGGGTCTCTGAGCCCTCCAGAGATGTCCCCGCATTGGTTACCTCAATTGGAATCCGGTGATAACAAGAGGTGATAAGAGTTTGGCAAAACAAACGCCCCTTATCTGCACAGTGTGGCTGTAAAGTGACACAGATAGATGTGAGGGTGTTTTTTTTAAACCAAAGGTGTAAACGTACGCTTAAGACTGCCTATCCTCGTCTAGACACGTCTTTTACCAGATGCCCAAAGAGTGAAGCGTTGGCTACACAATCCATCAAAATTTTCATCATTAGCCAAGATCCATCCACTGCTGGATGAAAGCCATCCAGCGACCACCCATTGAGTAAGGGACATGCGAGTCCAAGTTACGTACGGGCTGCTTGTATTTCAAATGAAATCCCAAGCAAAGGTGGATTAAAATTCTTGCATTTTGGTGTGTGTGTTAATGCATGTGATTAGCACACTGTTTCAAATCCCTCAACCTGTTGATGACACCAGAGGCAAGTGGTATCTTCACCTGTTTTGGGTTATTCCCGAAGTCAACTCGGGCGTAAATGCTGGGGGTGAAGGGCATGGTGTTAGTCGCACCATTGTGACTTTGTTTTTACATAAATCGGAGATATAGTGGTTTACATATTATTCTTCAAACCAGGCAGCTGCATGAGATTCTTAGCCTACACATCATTGGCATCTGAAACTGGTTGGGATCACCCGTAGGTCGACTCAGCCAAAAACATTGCAGTACTAGGTCCACCAATGATCGGTACAACTGCTGTGTATGATTGCGGCGCTGCATTTCGTTGTAAAAATGCATCGATCGTCTGTGAAAATATGCCGTCACCGTCCAGTACATGTGCCATTTATGCTTCCTCTTTGTGAGGTTCGACATGCTGCCATCTGTGCATGGTATTTAATAATGGTGTCAAATAACAACTGTTGCGAACTTGAGCTCCGCAGACCGCTCGCGCTCACGATGGTCCATCTGTGCGCGGGGCTTTCCCCAGGTCCCAGATCGACTGGAAGAAGGGCAAGGACGTGACAGTGAAGGTGATCAAGAAGAAGCAGAAGCACAAGGGCCGCGGCACAGTGCGCACGCTCACCAAGACCGTGCCCAACGACTCCTTCTTTAACTTCTTTAATCCCCCGCAAGGTATGGGCACACATACACAGCCACACACCGCCACGCACATGGGCAAATACAATGAAAAAAAACTTTTATTTTACCAGGTAAGGCCCACTGAGCTATATGGCTCGTTATCAGAAATGACATGGCCACAAAAATGATAGCTCAACGAAGTGGCTTATCACGTGGAAATTTTTAGCAGCCAAATACTCTAAACGCACATTTCTAAATGTGGAGGGAAGACCCGGAGGACCCGGAGGTACATCCATGCGACCATGGGGAACACATGTAAACTTCAATTATACAGGTGTCAGAGTCGGATCAAACCCACGACCTCCTGTATACCAGGCGAGGTAGTTAACATCTTGCCACCATGGCACACACACACATGGGAACATACACACGAGCCCAAACACGCACACAGACATGTACAGAGACCAAGATTCTCCCCCCCCCCTTCCCCCCTGTATAGCCTTAACAGATTGTTGAGGCAAGAGACCATCAGCTCACTGCACTTGAGAAGCTAGTTTTATTACAGGCAACTTCCTAACTTCGAACCTCAAGATCTCTGGTCTTTATATTTTCAATGGGCTGTTTCCTAAAAGCCCAATTGTAATGGTGACGGTGGTAGTAATCATAGTATACATGTTAACTTTCATTGTTGGGTTTTTTTGTTTCTCATTACAGTGGCTGAAGGAGAAGAGCTGGTAAGTAAATTTTTTGTATTTTTGACATGCTTTTATTTTTACTCACTCTGTTGTTGTTGTATCCTCAAATCTTGTAACTTAATTTTAACCCACTTCCCAATGTGGTATCGACTGCTAACTTGGTATATTTATGCCATACTAATGACAATACCATATTCTATCATTAAAAATATATATTTTTTTAAACATTCTTTTTTTTATGTTATGTTTTGGCTTGAGTTTAATTGTCCATGCTAAACTGACGTTGGCTGTAAATCACCACGGTCCCCTTACGTTATGGCAAACTTCGGGGCCACTTCCTGGCGTTGTGGAGTTCTGCCATTACTCGTACGGTATATTTCATTAAAGCGTATTTTTAAAAAAAGTTTTAAAAAATATTACTTATTTGGTTTTCCATGGGGGTTATATTTCTTTTTTAGAAGTCAAGGCGATAATTTTTTATTTCATTCGAACATTTTATACACTGCATTTACTTGCCAATTCCCTATGGAGACACGCGTGCCAGTATTTTTATCACTATTACAAAATAACTATGAGCCATTTTTTTGCGCGTGGTGTATACCAGACGGTGGTCTTTAATAAAGATCATCACAAAACGGTCCTTGAAAGAGGCCCGCTACGTTTGACTCCCAAAGCCGTGGGTTGCCAACCCCTGCACTAGAACAACCACTCGTTTGCCATCGGCAGCAGCCACGATCAATCGACTTGTCGCAAAAGGCGTCATGCCGCCAGCATCTCTCTCGGTCCTGCGATGTAATGACCAACTTAGCACCTGCAACAAGCACTGTTGTCTTCGCGCCATCTCCTCGGTGGACGTTCACTTGGGCGCGTTCCATTCCTTGGCTTCCACTCCATTGCTATTCTTGAGCATTGTCAATTGTCACTTCTGCTACCTCGACTGGTATACAGGAGGTTGTGAGTTCGATCCCGACCCTGACGCCTATTGTATATTTGGAGTTTGCATGTCTTTCCCTGTGGTCGTGTGAATTATTCTTCGGGTCCTCTGGTTTTCTCCTCCACATTTAGAATAAACATGCGTCTGAGAGCTTTTGGCTGCTATAATTTCCAGATGATAAGCCACTTTGTTCAGCTATCGTTTGTGGCCAGGTGGCTTCTGAAAAAGAGCTATATAGCTTAGTGGGCATTACCTGGTAAAATAAAATATCGTTTATAGTATATCTACTTTTATTAATAGTTTTCATGCCATCTTTCAGACGTGGATCTTCTGTAATCCACACATTCCTTTTTCTGTGTCTCAGTGTAATTCCGAGCATGCATTTCTCCACGCTGCTTTGCACACTTTTCTGTGTTTTTTCTGTCTCTTTCCGTTAATGACCATCTCTCTGAGCCATGTTTCATTCATCATTTCCAAATGTGGTTACTAGTTAGACAGAATTTTAAAAAACATTGACGAAAATGGAACTGCATTGCTGCACGAGGGTACAATTGCGTATGAATCGTAACATTGGGCGCGATACAACCTACACAGTCGGTTTTCTGTACATTTTTTCCGTTGACGACGTGACGTTCCGTTGAAGCCAAGAAGTTGTAAAGTGGTGACCTTGCAGTTTAACGCGTGCCCTCCCAGTGAACCGCCATCCGCTTGGCGCAAAATAACTTTGCACCGTGTGGAGATTAACTGCTTTTGGGTTGTGCAATAAATGTTACCACCCTATCCGAAAAGCTACCAATCTGAATGGCAGAGCTGTACTTGGATTTGAAGTAGAGGTTGTTAGAAATATGCGAATGCCCTGATGTTGCTTACGGTTGTAAAATTTGACATTTAGTTTTGTAATGATTAACACAACTAATTATGACTGCACACACGCTGCTGTGCGTTCGGTTAATATATTTTTGAGACATCGTTTTGTCAGGAGCGGAAAGGGGTGGCTAGCTTCGCGGAAGACTTCCGCAATTTCTTTAGTTGGGCATTAACCTCTAGAATAGCTGTTTTAGTGTGACTAAAAAAGTTATGAAACTGCAAACTTCCTGTGTAGCAATATCAGTTACAGGTTTTTTTTAGGTTGGATGTTGGATATTCTGTGTGTTTAAGCTAAGGATCACGTGTCTGGTATTCATCGTGTATTTAAATATTTTGTGGGGGCAAGAGAAAATGTTTGCAGCATTGGCAGTCAATGAAAGAGGGACCAATCCGTGAACACGCTGTTGCTCTGCGCAGTGTTTAACTCCCATAGCATTCTCTTAGGTTATTTTTGTTGTCCTTTCCCCCACACCTCCAATTGCCTTACCCCGCACCTCTGATTCCCTTCCCCCGCATCTCCAATTAACGCGATTGGCTACGTACGGTGCGACAAAAAGTTTAAACGTACATACTTGCGCTGCGATGAATACCTGGATGACTACCACCATCGACTCGCAAATCATAACGTTACGAGTTCAAATCCTGGTTCTGGCTTTATCCCAGACCATCGTTTCTGCGGGGCCGATAAATAAGTGCCGCTCAATAGGGAAGTCACCAGTGGTTTTCCTCGGGTTAGACTCGCCCCCATGATAGGAATGTGGAATTTACACCACCGGCTCTGGGCTGTAAACAGCAGAGCACCGCCTCAGTGTTTCATTTGAGCAGGAAATCACTTTGTCTTTTAATGCCCACAAGAAACTCGTGCCCTTGTGGTTGTGATTGTACATAAACGCTACTGGAAATCTGTGAAAAAGAGCTTCATAGCCCATCGGATTCCTCCAGTATAAATAAAGATTCTGATTCTGGAAATTGAATAAAAAAACCTGCTCCTGTCTTTTTCAGATTTATTGTTGGTAACAATCGGTGGAATTGTAAATATGACGAGTTTACTGGCCGCAGAGTAGATAATAATTCGAGTTGTCGAGCTCGCTGTTGGGTGGATTTTGACAAAACACGTCTTCGCTTGATAGAATGCCAGTAGATGGTCGCTGGGGAAACGCTCTTAAAGGAACGTTCAACGGGGAGATTTGCGATGCTGCAAGGTCATTTATCGGTGCGAGAATTTGCGACTGGGCGTGGTGGTGGTGTGCACACGGAATCCCACGCTTGGGAGATGAGGGTCGGTGGATCCCTTCGTTTAAAAACGATTTAAGGGTGTGGGGGTTGGTGATGCATTGGTGAGACCCACTGCCCTATGCACCCGGCAACGTGAGGTTGATTCCTGGCCATGGCAAACATCTGTAGCGTGCGCTGTCAGGAGGAGGTTCTGCCTTCTCCCCACCCACCAACATTTCCCAGTGTGGTGAAGTATGGTAAAAAAATCTCTCATGAGCGACATGGCTTGGGAAGGCCTTGATTGATTGAGAATGGTTGGAATTTTTATTATGACTATACCCGGCTCATTAATTCAATCCTCCAAAGACATTTTTGGACGAGCAGTTTTAGCGAATGACTGTATAAAACTAAACTAAACTTTTTATTTTACCAGGTAAGGTCCACTGAGCTTTATAGCTCTTTTTTAGAAGTGACCTGGGCACAATTGCTAGAACAACGAAGTGGCTTATATGCAAGTCTATAGCAGCCAAATGTCGATTCTAAATGTGGAGGGAAAAACTGGAGGACTCGGAGAAAAGTCCACGTGGCCACGGGGAGAGAGACACGCAAAATGTACTGGCATCGGAGTCGGGATCGAACCCACTACCTCCTGTACACCAGGCGAGGTAGTTAACATCTCGCCATGGTGGCGAGATGTACATTATGCCTCAAGGCCACGCTGGCCTTTCAACAGAGGAAACTTGAAGCAGTCGTGTTGATGTAATAATAAAAAAAACATGTTTGAAAGAGGAAATAGCTGTTATCTTTACCAGGTCGTTAAGGCAGTGTTGAGCACAAAGGTAAAGGTATTTACAATTGACGGTGATGTATAACTTGGCAAAACTTTAACCACATTCAAGTTTTCTTGTGTGAGCCTGCAAAATTATTTTATGGCTTTCAAAGGTCTGTCATTCAAGCCTGCAGCATTTGGACCTCTGTCCCAAATAGTTGCACATGTTTGATGGTTAAGTGACGTGAAATTGGATGGCAATGTTAAGACGCATTTTGTTCCCCGAAATAATTGAATTCATAACTATCCGCTAAGATTGTCGAACGCACACGTGTGTGTGCGCGTGTGCACGTATTTTCTCATCTGAAACGTGAGGCATTAATTAGTTGTGAGGTATCTGTGCTATGGTGTCTAAACCTTGCCAAGTTCTTCTTCTGAAATGAGTGACAAGATACAATATTGTACCCATCATTGTCATGTGGCGACAAAGCTGTGCGTGCGTGTGGTGTTTGCCACACCGCACCCTCATGTGCCTTGCTAGCTCACGAACAGCGTTTATACACCCATGGATCTCGGAAGGCAAAAAACGCAGGATATTTTCTCGACTCATTGACAAAGCAGCAGCGACACCGACACAGAAACGGAGCTCACTTAAACCACAACCGGTGTGATTAGTCATTTGGCTGGGTTACATCATGTTACATAAAGTAATGCAATGTAATTCTGTACGATATAGAGCGGTGGTCCTCACCCCTTGGGGCACAAACCACGGCCGGGGGTTGGGGGGCGATGCAGGCTCTGGCATGGATACCGTGCAGGAGAAATTTCAGTTGTACACGGGAAAATGTTCACGCTACGTCGCAGTGACAACACACAAAGCACTCCGATAAAAAAAAATATGAACATATGCCTGAATTACTGTTTTTTACAAGTGTGGACATGTGATCCCTCTGCACATTGTGAAAAGTAACCAGTGCTCTTGAGCAAGGGGGGGGACCGGCAAACCAAGAAGGTTTAGGATTGCTTGTATAGCATGTTCTACTGACTAACTTTTACCTACTTCTAGTTGGTCCTCTTGTGATGAACGATGAATAACTGCATTTGTCAACTCGTGCATCATGGCCATCCCCCTCAATCGTTTGGTCTCACGACCTTTGGGGCCCGTCTGCTCCTGCTTATTGCTGCCTGGATTCGGGCACGCGTCTCGGACGTGGCCTCGCGGTCGCGCGCTTATTGCAGGGGTTGACAGTTCGAAATCTAGTAGCCGCTCCCAGTTAATGCTGCGGGTGCATCGGGCGTAAACACGCTCACCGTCAGCCTCACAGCAGACGTTAAAAATCCCCCGATTAGGCTGCTGTGTGCTGGTGTCGGGGTTCGTATATATATAAAAAAAATAAACATTACCCGCACATTACACAAATAGAATTCTGCATAGCAATCAATGCCCCCTACAGGCAGACTGATGTGCCTGGTTACTCTTGCAAATGAGACTATGTCCGGGTCTATCTTATGTTCTCAACCGGAATAAACAGAATTAACTTGAAACGTGAACTCTTATGTTTCGCCGAGCCATTTTTTCCCCTCTGTGTTTCCCGCGCCGCTCAGGACGAGGACTCGGAGGTGATTCTGACGGCCGATTTCGAGATCGGTCATTTTTTCCGAGAACGCGTGGTGCCGAGGGCAGTGCTCTACTTCACGGGAGAGGCAATCGAGGATGAGGAGGAGGTGAGCGCCTTAGATCCGAATATATCTTTTGTCGTCGTCATCATCATGATTGTCACGATCATCATGTTGAGATACGGTTATGTTTACGCACGACATCCATCTGAAATTGTATTTAAGGCAGCGAGTGGCAGTATTCGACCGTCGTTTGACTCCTTGCTGTACGTCATTATTTGCAGTATGAAGAGGAGGAGGAAGAAGATGAAGAGGTGAGATAGCTGCCCTTACACGTGGAGACCGACGGAGCTATGCAGAGATGTCTTGACTCTCAACTGTGTGCTGCAGACCGGTGTTTCCTTGCTCAAAGAAGCATTGAGGCGGCGCTCATCTCTTTTGTTTACAGCCCTGTGCCAGTGGTGGAGTTTCTGAATTCTTATGGCAGGGTTAAGCCGATCCATTTATCAACTATTGTCGACTTCCCCATAAAGTGCTACTTGTGTTATCGACCCTGGAGGAATGGATAATGTGCTTAACGAACCCCTAAACCAGTATTTTTACTCTTATCAAGTTACACGACAGATGTGTTTTTTTTACAACACATTATATTGGTGTATCCCTGTGGGAGAAAATGTTAAATTAGTCATGGCCAATCTTTGTAAGGGAAGCCAAGGTATGGCCAAGTTTTCTTCGCTTTGCAATTGGCGGTTTTCCCTGACGTGAATATGCGAATCCCCCCTTGAAGAGAGTTTTGCTCTGTCTCAGGATGGCCAGGAGGAAGAGGGGGATGAAGAAGATGACGAGGATGAGAAGAAATGAAACGTGAGACGCTTTGGTGCACGCTCGCTCGCTCGTTCGCGCGCGCACGCGCCCGCGTGTATGTGTGTGTGTAAGCGATTCGGCACCCCCTCGCCGAGCTGCCCCCGTGGTAATGGTGATGGCGTTACGTTTGGCAGGCTAATGAGTGGCGCTATATATAGCCCGCTTGCCCTGTGCTGCGATACATTAGACGTGGTTGAGCGTGACAACGTGAGCTCGATTATTTTTGGAGCGAGCTGTTCGGCGCTAATTGCTACACTCGAGTGCTGATGACTCCCGTTGTTTATTGCCGCCGCCGTAATGCTCGTTTTTAGGATTTTAAACGGGTGAAGGTGAAGCCCTGCTTTTCTTAGCTCACGCCACCGCTGGTGGGAGGGCCCTGCACTCGAGAGGGACGCCACGGTGGCGAGATGTTTAAATACCTCGCCTGGTGTACAGGAAGTCGTGGGTTCGATCCCTTCCCTGGCGCCTGCTTCGTATTTAGTGTTTGCGCGTTTCCCCGTGGTCGTGTGGATTATTCTCCGGGTCCTCCGGTTTTACCCTCCACATTTAGAATCGGCAAGCGTTTTTATTGTTCAGATTGTTTTACTTGCGATACATTTGCACGCGATAACCTGCTCAGTTGAGCTATCATTTGTGATCAGGTCGTTTCTGAAAGAGCTACAGTGAGGGAAAAAAGTATTTGATCCCCTGCTTATTTTGTACGTTTGCCCACTGACAAAGAAATGATCAGTCTATAATTTTAATGGTAGGTGTATTTGAATAGTGAGAGACAGAATAACAACAAAAAAATGCAGAAAAACGCATGTCAAAACCCTTGTTGGCAATCACAGAGGTCATACATTTCTTGTAGTTGGCCACCAGGTTGGCACACATCTCAGGAGGGATTTTGTCCCACTCCTCTTTGCAGGTCTTCTCCAAGTCATTAAGATTTCGAGGCTGACGTTTGGCAACTCGAACCTTCAGCTCCCTCCACTCCTTTTGCCTTGGCCGTGTGTTTTGGGTCATTGTCATGCTGGAATACCCATCCACGACCCATTTTCAATGCCCTGGCTGAGGAAAGGAGGTTCTCACCCAAGATTTGAGGGCACATGGCCCCGTCCATCGTCCCTTTGATGCGGTGAAGTTGTCCTGTCCCCTTAGCAGAAAAACACCCCCAAAGCATAATGTTTCCACCTCCATGTTTGACGGTGGGGATGGTGTTCTTGGGGTCATCGGCAGCATTCCTCCTCCAAACACGGCGAGTTGAGTTGATGCCAAAGAGCTCCATTTTGGTCTCATCTGACCACAACACTTTCACCCAGTTGTCCTCTGAATCATTCAGATGTTCATTGGCAAACTTCAGACGGGCATGTATATGTGCTTTCTTGAGCAGGGGGACCTTGCGGGCGCTGCAGGATTTCAGTCCTTCACGGCGTAGTGTGTTACCAATTGTTTTCTTGGTGACTATGGTCCCAGCTGCCTTGAGATAATTGACAAGATCCTCCCGTGTAGTTCTGGGCTGGTTCCTCACCGTTCTCATGATCATTGCAACTCCACGAGGTGAGATCTTGCATGGAGCCCCAGGCCGAGGGAGATTGACAGCTCTTTTGTGTTTCTTCCATTTGCGAATAATCGCACCAACTGTTGTCGCCTTCTCACCAAGCTGCTTGGCAATGGTCTTGTAGCCCATTCCAGCCTTGTGTAGGTCTACAATCTTGTCCCTGACATCCTTTGAGAGCTCTTTGGTCTTGGCCATGGTGGAGTTTGGAATCTGATTGATTGCTTCTGTGGACAGGTGTCTTTTATACAGGTAACAAGCTGAGATTCGGAGCACTCCCTTTAAGAGTGTGCTCCTAATCTCAGCTCGTTACCTGTATAAAATACACGAGGGAGCCAGAAATCTTTCTGATTGAGAGGGGGTCAAATACTTATTTCCCTCATTAAAATGCAAATCAATTTAGAACATTTTTAACATGCGTTTTTCTGGATTTTTTGTTATTTTCTCTCACTGTTCAAATGTACCTACCATTAAAATTATAGACTGATCATTTCTTTGTCAGTGGGTAAACGTACAAAATCAGCAGGGGATCAAATACTTTTTTCCCTTGCTGTATATGGCTCAGTGAGCCTTAACTAGTAAAATATATTTAAAATATTTTTTTATAGTTTAGACCACCTTCCACGCTAGTGTGGCATATTGGGCGATGCCAGGGCGTACCCACGCTATACACCCCACCACTCGCATCGTCGTTGCAAATGTTGCATCTCCCCCGCTTTTGTTCGCCAAGAAAACAAAGTTACAAGGCTTGCTCCTCGCGATGCACCCTTTTGGATCGTGCAATGTATTCGAAAGCACCGAACGATATTTATTTGCGCCGATGTGCGAGCGATAGCATTGTAAATGTTAACACGGGTTGTGTGGTGGTGTGCGTTTTTATTGTTTCAGCTCAATATTTACCGGGGGCGGGGTGGGGGAAGATACAAGCATAAAATAAAAAAAATTGTGAACGTGCGACAAAGAAAAATGTAAAAAAAAGAAGAAAAAAATATAAAAAAATGTAAACAACTCAAAAAACATTAAATTGTTGTCTCCATTGGTGGAGGTCCAAAGAAGATTGTTAGGTTTTAATTTAACGTTCGCTTAACAAGCTTTGTAACAATAAAAAAATTTACAGGTCACGACATTTCGAATGGCACATTTTTTTGTGTTTTGCTTCGTATTCCGTCTTCACTGTTCCACGCGAATTTGCGCCGTCTTCAGAGGGACACATTCATGACGATAGCTTTATGGTCATGCAAGAAAGGTATGGGTTTAAAGTACACTTTAGTTTGCAATCAGTCGATTCGTCACAGCTGCATTTCCAACCCGTTTTGAGAGTACAGTAACATCACATGCCTAATATAGGAATTGTTTATTTTTATTTCAGTTGTGCTTCGCTTTGTTTCTGGGGGTTTTTTTTCCCTGCATTTAATGTTTGGCACTCCACATCCATCACATGAGCATAATCTGGCATGCATCCTCCATACGTTTTTGAAGCTCAAACATTTTGACATGAACCTTACCACGGAGTCGCTGGGCAGTCATTGATGTAGCAGAGACAGAATCAGAATATACTGGAGGAATCTGACGAGCTACAAAGCTCTCAAAGATGTCCGGTAGGGTTGGGTCAGAATGTTACAACAAACAATACAAAAACACGGTAAGAGTACACAATATAGGAAAGGTCAGTAAATCACTAAAAAATATATTTTAAAAAACTTTTGTTTCTTACCGGCTACAACTCACTGAGCTCTTAGCTTATTTTTCCCAAGCGAAATTGGCCACAAATGATAGCTCAATGAAGTGGGCTTATCACGTGGAAGATTTATAGCAGCTAAATAATCTAGACGGAACCCGCAAGGAGAAACGACACGTTTATTTATCTGCACTGTGCGGCATGCAGAGTTATCTGAAAGGCGTTTTCCTTGCTTTAGTGACCTCAGCGCCTGAGGTAGGCTAAGTTCATCTTTAGCTCTCGGGCACAGTTTAGTTGACTCGGCGTTAGAGCGAGCAGCTCCCAGTCAGACGGTGGTGAGTTAACTTCCTGGTTGGAGGTTAACTCGGTCCAGTCATCCCTCTGGGGTGGATAAAAATGAGTGCCAGTGTGGGGAAGTCGGCAGCGGCTGACCTGTGGACAGAATAGTCCTCACCGTAAGAATTTGGAATTGACACCACTGGCTCCAGAGTTGTTACGTGGAGGTGGGCATCGCTCTGCACATTTGAGCAGGAAATCACTCGCGTGTTTGATGACAATTTAGACGTTCATATTCTTTGGGTCTTTCGGTAAAGTCACGTCGATAGGTTCAAAGAAAATAACCTACCTACCGATCTTAGTGACTTTACTGAAAGACCCAAAGAATATGATTTCTCTCAGTCACGAAAGCTTTAAGTCAAGATTTAATTTAGAGGTTGTTTCACTCCGGGTGTCAGTTATTCCAGCAGCTAGTGGCGGCGAGCACATCACCAGAATATAGCCCGTGGTTACACTTTATCATGCGGTTGTACTCCGAGCCTTTCCAGGACGTGTCTATCAGGGGCTTCACCCTCCAGATTCATCTGCCTCGGCACTGGACACGACCTAGACGATTCCAACAACCACTGTGGACATGTGCAAAGCAGACACGTGGGCGAGATTCCATAAATACCTTTGAGGGCACTAGGTTTTGGTGCCCCTCAACGTTGGCTGAAGCAGCCTTTTGGGGAGGGCTGTCTCGTCGGCTGTGTTCCAAGTTGTCTTATGAGCCGTCACTCCACCCAGCCACCTGCAAGCATGCTGTGATAGGAATGCTCATTATACTTACACAGCAAAGCCAGGCTGAGTGAGAATACTCTTTCTGGAGGGTCCGGCTAAATTGGGATGTTTTGTGCGACACCAATTTCAATCTTGATTTGAAGCTTTCGTGACTGCAGGAATCCATACTCTTTGGTTCTTTCGGTAAAGTCAACACCTGATGACGGACGCTTGTGTTGCACCCGAAACGTCGTGATTTATTTTCTACCTACGTGACTTTACCCAAAGAACCAGAGAGTACCAATTTCAATCTTTATTTTTATAGCTGTGGGAGGAAACCGCAAACAACTGGAGGAAACCCATGCAGGTCAAGGGGGAGAACATTCGCACACTCGCACAGAATCGCGCCCAAGTCAAGAATCGAACCCAGGTCAAGAATCAAAACCCGGGTCGATCGTGCTGTAAAGCACGAGTGGTTACCCACTGTGCCACCCTGATAACCAAATGTGATGGATGCCAGATGCAGGAAAAAATATTGATCTAACTTAGTAGACGTTTCTTCGAATTAATGTCGGCACTCACGGTGAACGCTCCAATCCTGCCCGTGATAGCCTACGAGAGAGGTCTTATCATCATCTCTATAGGCCATGATTACTACTGGATGAAGGCCTTCCCAAGTTGTCGCCATCTAACACTCTCATGAGGTTGTCGGCACATAAATCAGGCCTGTGACCCTTCGTCACACCAGATTCGATCGCTCCCATTTGGCGTTAGTGATACGTGTCGATCATTGGGTTAAAATTCCTGCACAGGCTTCTACTTTTTTGAGAAATGGACACGTGCAAGATTTACCCATGTGCGTTTTGTTTTTATGGCCTGTCATTAATTGAACGCGTTTTAAGTTTCGCGTTAAATGTTAGTGTCGATTCGTGTGAAGGAATATCAATGTGGAGCTGCAAGATGCTCTGATGAGCACCGTCAGAAACCGTTCCCATGTGACGACAGCTCTCAAAGCACCATCCAGATCCCATCTTTTGTTCACGACGTTATTGCCACTAATTTACCATTACATTTACAAAGCTTTTATTACAGGAATAGTGGCGCTTCCTCCCTCTCTGTGGCATGGATAGCTGCGTCTTTTGGAGTGCCTATGAACTATTATTTTATTCTCTAGACCGAAGCTGCAAGTGTCGGTGAGAATGTTTTGTCTGATAGATGTATGGAGGTTCCGACATTGATTGGGAAAAAACATTAATTTGAGGTTTAGAAAAATGAACTACCTTTATTGCTTTACTTTACAAGTTACCGTCATGAGGTTACCTATCCAAACTTGTTAATTAGACTTATTAATTGTCGAGCAATTTTTTTTATGAAATTGTAATTAAAAGGCAACTCTTAAGATGTCATGTTTTGAAGTTAACGTTCTAATTTCAT